CATAATTTCCTAGAACTTAACTATCTTAGCTTTCACCTGGGGCATCTTATAGCCTCATTTTACCCTAGATAGCCTCTAGGCTTGTCTATGAGTTTACGTTAGAATTGCACTTTATTGTTACTCTAAAGAATCTGACAATTGTTGAACAAGAAGAAAAAATTAACCTAGGAAATCTGTGCAATATGTTCTCTATCCTGATTTTCTTAAAGAATGAAAAGTTAGGGCTGGGGATGTGGCTCAAGCGGTAGCGCGCTCGCCTGGCATGTGTGCGGCCCGGTTCGATCCTCAGCACCACATACAAACAAAGATGTTGTGTCCGCCGAGAACTAAAAAATAAATATTAAAAAATTCTCTCTCTCTCTCTCTCAAAATAAAAATTAAAAAAAAAAAGAATGAAAAGTTAGTTCCTCTATTTAGCAGCAGAAAGGGAAGAACAGAGGAAAGGCAGCTTTGACATTGTCCAAAGAAAGTTCACAGTTGTCTGGCACTAGCATCACAAGGATTTTGGTTTTGTGGCTTAGAAACATTTCTCAGACAGCCTCTTGCCTTATAGCTGCCCACTCCCTTTCCATCATGCCTGTTTAATCAGCCCAGGTTTACTAGACATGAACAAGGCTTGAGAATTCAGAATTCCACATGAGGAAATGGGGTCATGGATAGGCAGCTCTCTTTATTTAATTTAGAGAATTTTAGTATTTAGTTAAGAGAGAAATTTAGTATTTAATTAAGAGAAGGATTGTAGGTGATGGTGAGATGTATGGTCAAGGAAAAAAAAAATATTTTTTATAAAGAAAGGGAAAAGGTTTATTTTGGCTCACAGATTTGGAGGTTCCAGCTCATGAAAATTAGTCCCATAACCTTGTGCCATGGTTTGACTATAGGGCAGAGCAAACCACTCACGTTATCAGCCAGGAGGCAAAAAGAGGAGAAAGTGACCTGGGGTCCCCTATTCCCTTCAAGGCCCTCGGTGACCTAAGAGCCTCCTGTAAGGCCCCACCTCTTAAAGGTTTCACACCTCCCAAGAATATCACACTGGGGTTTGAGCCTTTAACACATAGACCTTTGGGGAATACTCATCCAAACTATAGCATTCCAGCCCTGGCCTCCAGTGGCTCGTGTTCATCTTATAATGCAAAATGCATGTAGTCCATCTCCATGAGTCCTCAGGGTCTTAACTGTTCCAGCATTGGTCAAATGTTTAAGTACAAAGTCTTCTTTAAGACTCCAGACAAACTCAAATGTGAGACCCATAAAAATAAAAAAGAAAGTCACATACTTCCAAGACACAATGGTAAGATAAGCGCAAGGTAAATGTTCTTATTTCAAAAGCTTGGAATAGGAAAATAATAAGGAAGGATCAGTCTGAATCAAGACCAGAACACAGTAGGGTAAACATTAAATCCTGAGGCTCCATCCAGGTTACACTGTGGCAAGATGTGGGCTGCCAGGACTTGGGAAGCCCTGTTCTTTCAGCCTTGCTGGAGGCAGTGCACATGTCCACTCTCTTGGGCTGACTCTGTGTGCTGCCCATAGCTTTCCTTGACAAGTGTTGCCCATTGCTGACGTCTTCACCTTCCCTGGGTCTCCGTTGCACTTTTAGCTTCACTCCCACATTTCCATTCCACTCCACAGCACACTGCTCAGCTACTCAGGCTTTCCGTTTAAAATCTTGGTGGAAGCTTCCAAGACTCCATAACTCTTACATTCTGCAGGCTTGCAAAGCCAGCATATATGGATGGTACCAACCAGCACGAGCTGTCCCTGGATCCACTTGAACCAAAACTGCCGTAGCCTCTGACTGCCTTCTCCTCCCCACCACACTCTTTTTAAAGGGAGAGACTTGGGCATGTTTAACTGCTAATGGTAAGAATCCAGTTGAAAGTCAGAGGCTCCTTGCAGATAACTTACTGAATGAAACCATAAAGCTGTAGTCCCCCTCTGTGGGAGACCAACCTTGCACTTGACTGAGTCACACTCCCCAGCTGGTGCTGAGGCGCTCAGTCACAGAAATGTGGCAGAGCTTTCCCCACCCTTCTTAGGATCGGTGTCTCATGCTTGGGTGTGTCTTGCTACAGCCCCATGGGTGAAGCTATGCTCACCTGTTCCTTTGTAATATAACCCCTTGCCCTGTTTAGGATAGAATCTTCCATGGAAGTGCCTAGTGTGTGTCCCCTTCTCTTACTGTGCCCTTCCCAGATGTCAGTCAACCTGCTGACAGTGGACATCATGAAGATAGACTCAGCGCCCTGTAACCTGACCCCTTACCTCATTTGAATAGCTTCTCCTCAATAAAAGGGGTCAGCGTGTGCTCTAGCTCTCTCTTTTCCTGCGGACCCTTAAGATCAGAGGAGCCTTCACAGCGACTCCAAAGAAAAAGATATTTGTGTCTCTTGTGTGGTTATTTTGCACAGCCCAATTAGCCCAATTTAACTGGAGTGGCCCCTGAGCCTTTTAGTTGCTAACCGAAACCCAGCACCCCACTAGATAGATTACACTGTTAACAACTGAACTTACTGACCAAGCTGAGAGTCACTAGCAGTGGCATAAAGAAAACAGGAAGTTCATTCTGATGTATTGTAGTATGAAGAAGTCCAGGGCTGGGCTTGTGGCTCAGTGGTAGAGCATGCGCCTTGCATGTGTGAGGCACTGGTTTCGATCCTCAGCACCACATAAAAATAAAGTTATTATGTCCATCCACAACTAAAAAAATATTTAAAAAAGAAGTCCATAGATCACCTAATTCTTGCCATATATATGTGTGAATATTCTATACATACAATATATTCTAACCTGAATATATTCTATCCTGTCAATCTAACTTCCAGTTTACAGGTAGTGTAGAGGGTAAGTAAACAAACAGTAGCATCAAGACGTAAATAGAAAGTGGGACATTCTAAGGACAAATAACTTAGTCTCTAGTGAATCAATATCACAGGGGGAAAAAAAGCAAGAGATGGCTATTTCTAGTTGGAGAGCCTTAAGAGACATGACAAAATGTATCATGTAGTCCTTAATTGGATCCTGATTCCAACAAACAAGATGTAAAAACACAATAGGGGAAATCTCTTCCTAAAATGGTAATATTCCTGCCTTTTGGTTCTGTGATTTATTCTAATTCCTTAGAATGAGTTTTCCTTTATTTCTTAAGCTAATTTAAGGTTCGCTTATTTATTAGAAAACCAAGTGTCAAAAGTGCTGGGTGTATAGCAAAGAGTAAAGCAAACCAAAACCCTGCCCCAGTATAGGAACTTGTTTTCTGTAAGGGGGAAACAGATCACAAATAGGTAAATACATGCTCAATTGTGTTGAGTCCTATAGTGAAATATAGGACAGGGTAGGTGACCTAGAAAGGGAGAAGGTTGGGTGTGTGTGTGTGCTATCAGCAAAGGCTCCTCTGAGAGGATAACATCTGAGCAGACACAAGAAAGCAAGCGATGAAACTGTCACAGGCAAGAGTGGTCCAGGCCAAGGGAAGGGGGAATGAAAGACGCTGAGGCTGGAGTCCGCTTAGTGTATTCAGAGAACAGCAAGAAAGCTTTTGAGCAACTGGAGGAGAAAAGGGAGGGGCAAAGGAAGAGTAGGTGTGTGTAGGGTGCGGGTATGTATGAGAGACAGGTACAGCTCCTTAGGTCAAGATACAGAGTTGGCTTTACTCTGAGTGAAGCAGAAAACCATTGCAGAATTTAAAGCCTAAGAGTGACTTGTATTTTAAGAGTGATATTTAGTGGTATTTTAGTAATAATCGACTTGCTCTGCCTAGATTAGACTGAGAGCGATCCTGTCAGTAGGAAGGAGACCAGGTGAGAGATAATGAGGACTTGCATCAAGGTAAAGGAAGTAATCAGAATCAGTCGGATCCTGAATAATATTGTAAGGAATAATTGACTTGATTTGCTGATGGATTAGAGGGGGAGGGTGGGAGAGAAGCAGAAATTAAGGATGACTCTCAGATTTTTATCTTTAATAGTTGGAAGAATGGAATTGCTGTTTACTGAAATGAGGAGGATTTGCAGATGGAGTGGATTCAGTTTTGAAGCTTTGAATTTGAGGTGCATATATGGAGGCCAGTTGGAGATGTTGAGTGCTGCTCTGTGAACTGCTGTAAAGTGTTTCTCACTGGACTCCTGTCCAGCACCGTTTCTGTATAATTTAGTTTGTCTGTGTATGGGGGGCAGGTTTCCCATTGAACCCAGGGGTGCTCTACCACTGAGCTATATCCCTAGCCATTTTCTTTCCTTTCCTTTTCATTTTTTTTTTTTTTTGAGACAGGATCTCACTAAGTTGCCCAGGCTGGCCTCAAACTTGTGATCTTCAGCCTCCCAAGTCACTGGGATTACAGGTGGACACTACCATACCCAGTTTATAATTCATTTTTAAATACTACAACTCGAGGATTCTTCTGATCACTCTTAGCCTAACATGAGTGACAGAAAGACCAATGGTCCAAAACAAGATTTTCCCCCCTAGACAGCGAGGGATTGTTGTCTGGGATATGTATGGTATGGGGGACTATAGGTGCATCCGAAGAAGTTGGGGCAAGGAGAGGATTTCGAAAGAAAAAAGGTCAAAGTCCACAGACACTGTTTTGAAACAAAGCCCTTTGGCTCCCATAGCTTGTTGCAGGAGCTGGTGTTAGCCCATGGCGGAGGCAGCTGTGAGGCAAGTGTCTGCGTGCAGGCTTATCTAGAACACTGTGGTTTCCAGAAATTCCTTGGGTGGTTCCTTCATAGGCACATGTCTGGGGGCTCCTCCTTCATGGCCTCCAGCTCTGTTTTGTCAGGGTTTGACATAAGTGGCTGTTTTGGTGCTGACAACTTTCACATCACATTCCTCCATAAAACCCTTCGGTAAATGACCCAGATCCATACTTACTAAGCAACTGTCAATTTTAGTAATAATCGACCAGAGTTTCAGAAGGGCTAAAAACAATTATATGTTAGTGTCTTAAAAGTAAATTTGAAGATGGACAACTAAGTGTCAACCTCTCTCTCTCTCAACAGTTACTTTTACTTGGTAATTACTGAGGTAAACAGATTCAAAGGATGAGTGAACTGGAACAATTGAGGCAGGAAGCAGAACAACTGCGGAATCAGATCCAGGTAAGAACTTCATTTTGAAATTTTAATGCTTTTCCCCACAACCCCACCACTCCGGCCAATCTCAGTGCTAAGGATTGAACCCAGAGCCCTATGCATGCTAACAAGCACTCTGCCACTGAGCTACATCCCCAGCCCCAGCTTTTACACTTTTTTTCAGTATCAGCAATGTATAAAATTCCCAAGTATGTCAGTTTACATACATTAAGTAATTTGTAAGGCCAGAAATGGTCAATTTTTTTTAATCTTGCTTCTAATGAATGCTCTGAAAATGATTCCTGATAAGTGCCTATGCCCACAAGTGGTTTCCATGCCCCTAAGAGGTTAATAGTAGGTATGTCTGTAAGCTCAGCTGGAAGATAAACAATTCTCTTCTTACTCATACACCTGGAATCTAGATTTTTGGTGCAATACAGTGAGGCAGACATTACACTGTGATAAAGTAGGAAATGTGAATCTGTAAGACATTAAATCACAGAAATGTCAAAAATTACAAAAGGCAAGATCAAGGGCAGATCTGACCTCTTTTAGTCTTGGAAATCAGCTCAAGACAATAAAAAGGATAAGAAACAAATACAAGCTCTGGCCTTAGCAAAATTAAAATGCTCTTAGAACTTCAAGCCATAAAAGGATGGAGAAGGTTTGCCAAATGCAGCAGCCTGTGGGACAGTTCCGACAGAGGTGCTCGTAGCTGTAAATCTCATACAAAGTAGGAAGCACTCTCCAAGGGACAGCTCCAACAATCCCTTCTTTGGAACAGTGAAACAGATGCTTGCTTGAACTTTGTTGGCACTCACTAAGGAATATCAAGAAGGCAGAGTTAAAAATGAAAGAATGTAGGTATGCCTCCTGGAGAGCTGGATAGAGGAGAGACTGAATTGTGAGTAGCCTGGCAGCTGCCTGCTTCTTTTCACAGGGAAAAGTAAAAGCTAAAACAGCTTGCAAATATAGATGAAGAACTTCAGCACAAAGTGGGAGAATCTCTGGTAGCTTGGAATATAGCTGTGACTCTTCCCAATCTGGATCTTTGGTAATAGCTATTTCAGAAGAGAGAGAGAAAAGGAAGAGGAAAATCAAGGGAAGGGTAAAGAACACTCACCATACTGGGCTGGTGGTGCATGCTTGAAATCCCATCGACTGAGGAGGCTGAGGCAGGAGGAACTCAAGTTCAAGGTTAACCTCAGCAATTTAGCAAGTGCCTAAACAACTAAAGGAGACACCGTCTCAAAATAAAAAATAAAAAGGGCTGGGGATGTGGCTCCCCTAGGTTCAATCCCTAGTACCAAAACAAAACAACAACAACAACAAAAACAAAAACATATTAAAAAAACACTTATCAGGGCTGGGATTGTGGCTCAGTGGCAGTACAGTGCTTGCCTAGGACGTGTGAGGCCCTGGGTTTGATCCTCAGCACCACATAAAAATTTAATAAATAAAATAAAGATATTGTGTCCAACTACAACTGAAAAATAAATATTAAAAAAAAAACACTCATCATAAAGAGTTGATCTGAGTGAAGTCATAACCAGACTTATTACCAGGAATTCAAGGAAGTTAACAATTTAGTTGTGAGCAAGAACTCTGAGTTGATACCTTATGTCTGTACAAAGCTGTCAGAACAAAGGAGGGATTTATTTTGCTTGAGATGCTCATAAAAGACTTCACAAACAAGTCTCTGAATTAGATATTACAGTTGAGTATCTGTTCTCTGAAATGCTTGGGACAAGGAATATTTTGGATTTCAGATCTTTTTGGATTTTGGTATATTTATATATGCATAATGAGATATCTTGGAGATGGGACCCAAGTCTGAACCCAAAGTTCATTTATGTTTCATATATACCTTACGCACATAGACTGAAGATAATTTTATATATTTTTAGTGTATCTGTGTTTTGACTGGAACTTGTCACATGAGGCCATGTGTAGAATTTTCCACTTGTGGCATGGTGATAGTGCCCAAGTGTTGGATTTTTCAGTCTAGGAGTGCTACACCTATACTGCCAACCACCAGAATGTATATTTGCTGTATATAGAATTATAGAATTCTCTCTGACATCCTGACTTTATATCATGTACTCCAGATGTTAAGAGGAACAATGATGATTGGCCAGACATGGTCACATGCCCACCTCCTATCATCCTGATAGCTGTCCTGTGAAAAGCTGGTGTTGATTCATTTTATAGTTGAGGAAACTGAGGCTCATTGAGATTAAAAAATTTGGCAAGGTTGAGGAGACCAAGGCTCAGTGAGATCAAATAACTTGCCAAGGAAACCTAACTAGTAAGTACCGGATTCATCACTCAGATACCATGTTTGGACTCTAAGGCCTGTGCTCTGTCACCAAGGATGCACTGCCTCCTGACCATATTTAATACCTTTCCCTGCAGCCTGTGCTCTAGTCAATCTAGCCTGGTTGCCATTTTTGTGTCCCTTGAACATGTGTTGCTCTCTCCTATTTCGTTGTCTTTTATCAAATTGTTTCATTTGCCTGGAGTTCTACTACCTCTTCTCCAATTTTTCTCTCTCGAATCCTATCCATTGAATCCTGTTCCTCCTCTAAAAGCCTTATGAGAGTCCTATGCTTGGATTCATTCTCTTTCTCTTATTGGTGTCATGGTGAAACAATGTGTATGGATTACACTTTTTATCATGTGTTGCTGCAGGCAGGTCTCTAACATTTTTGACACTCAGTGTTTTTGCTGTGAAGCAAGAATACCAATGCCCACCTTATAGGTTTGTGCTGGGGATTAAATAACACATACAGGACTTATGCTAATGCTGATGAGGGGCAGTTCCTCACTCATATAGCACTGTAGGCCTCTGTGATGACAGGGTTGTTAGTCTGCTCTGTATTTTAGTCCTTTGTTTGCATTTACCCCTTCTGCTTTAGTTACATTGAATATTCTATTTTAATCATTTCCATATCCAACCAGAATTCCAGGCACAATGTCATGGGTACAGGTTCACTGACTCCTCTCCTCCCATGATTTCAAGTATGTGTATATAAAATACCAGGCACTTTTTCCTCAGTATAATCATGTCACACTATAGTTAAATACCCTCCCTCCCTCCTTTTTTTCTTCTCTTTCCCCCTTCCTTCCAGAAATAAAATCTGTGTGTTTACCTAACTATGTTGGAAATACATGGCATAATAGAAATGTATGCTATTTGGCATAACATATGACTAAATTTAAACTCAAAAAAATGACAAATAAAGAAAACATAGATTTTGTTTTCTTTTGTAATTGAGTTATAGCAATAAATATGTCACCTATCCTGCTTCTTTTTGGGGTGGTACTACAGACTGAACCCATGGCCTAACGTGTGCTAGGCAGTACTTCAGCACTGAACTCCACCTCCAACCTTTTTAAATTTTATTTTGAGGCAAGGTCTTGCTGATTTGCCAGGCTGAACTCAGTCTCCCAAGTAATTGGGATTCCAGAGGTACACCACCACATCTGCCACATTCCTTTTTTTTTTTTCTGGCACAAAGATATTAATATCAGATCTTTTATTTTTTTGTTGTTGTGCTGAACAGCATAGAATTCTTTTATATTTAGTTTTATAATGGATAATAGTGTTCATAAGAATAAATTATTGATGTGAGTAGATTATTTGAATTATGAAAATTTGCCCCTAACTGCTGCTAAAATGTTAGTAAAATTTTTGCATTCCAACATGGTGTTTTAAATTTTGGTACTGATTTTTCCTGCAGTTTAATGATTTTCATTTTCAGCCCTTAAATTGTATTATTAATACTAATATTAATGCTATGAGGGCAAAAAATTGTTATTTGTCCATTGCTGTGCGTACGGTGACTACAGCGGTACCTGGCATGACACGCACATCTGAGTCTTTTACCAGATGACTGAGTCAAGAAAGAAGGCCTGAACAATGATAGGTCATTTTCATAAAACCTGAACTCATAGAACCTTTTTTCAGAATTTTAGACTTCAACTGCACCATTTCTGGAACATGGCTCAGGTCATCAGTGACATTTCCAGACATTCTTTTCATTGCAGAAAAGTGTGCTAAATTATTCCTTGCTAAATGAGATCTCTAAACCCACAATTTGGCTAAGAATGAGAGAATCAAATCACATTTTTGTGCAGCTAGTTGTAAAACACTCTTACATAGAAATAGTCTATTTACCAGAAGGTTGAAAGAGCAGCCAGAATTATCATATCTTCCATCTAGTCTGTGCTGCAAAGACTTTGTTGGGTTTTATTCTGTAAATATTGTGTGTCTTCTCTTTGCCTAGGAGTATACCAAGCACTGTAGGCAAATAATAATAATGATAAAATAAGGAGGATACTACACTAACCTCTGTGGAGGGGGAGATTATCTTAAATCTAGCATGTATATCAATTCTCTAAATTTGTTATTAACTGATAAACTTGGTTTAAAATGTCTTGCTGGGGTTGGGGTATAGCTTACTAGTTGAGTACATGCTTAGCATGTGCAAGGTCCTGAACTTAATCCTCAGCACCTAAATAAATAAAGTGTTTTAATTTTTTTTAAATATATTTATTGCTCCCTTATTTTGTTATATTGATTTCTGTTTCATCATCTTCCCTCTGTTTGTATAAAAATTTAAGGTTTCACTGAAAGAATACCTTATAATAATTAAGACATAAACACCTGCTTACATGGAAAGAATTTGTTATAAAAATATGGATGTCACTCAGTGTAAATTGTTGCTATTACATAAAAAAATCATTTTACTGTGTCTGGAGATATAGCTCAGTGGTAGAGCATATGCTTAGCAAATGCAAGGGCCTGGGCTAGATACACAACTCAAAATTTCTGAGATATATTTTTGCATATTGGATCTAAAACATTTTCTTCCTAGTAGCAACAAATAACAGTTGCCTATATAAATAAATGTTAGTTTCTGCTAAAGCCTTAATAATAAATATAACTCTGAATACTGTGAGCTTATTAAATCAACTTAATAATTTTAGATCAGGATACAATTTTGCAAGTCTTTAAATCATAAAATAAAAATATGTTTGTGCGGGGCGCTGTGGGATTATATTACCTGTAATCCTAGCGTCTTGGGAGGCTGAGGCAGGAGAAGAGCGAATTCAAGGCCAGCCTCAGCAAAAGTGAGGCACTAAGCAACTCAGTGAGACCCTGTCTCTAAATAAAATACAAAATAGGGCAGGGGATGTGGCTCAGTGGTCAAGTACACCTAAATTCAATCCCTGGTATATAAAGAAGTTTGTACAATGGTATACAATTTGAAAGTCCATAAACACATCCATATATTTATGGTCCACTGATTTTTAATAAACCCATTCAATAGGGAAAAAATATTCTTTTCAATAAATGGAACTGGAACACTTGGATATCCACATGTAGAGGAAGGAATTTGGACCCCCTGTCTCACACCATATATAAATAATAACTCAAAATGATACCTAAATGTAACATTCAAAAGTACAAAATTCTTGAAAGGAAACATAGTTGTAAATTTTCCTGACTTTGGATTAGGCAAATTAAATATGACACCAAAAGAAAAAGATAAACTGGACTTCATCAAAATTAAAAACTTGTGTGCTAAAGGACACAATCAAGAAAATGAAAGGACAGTTGAAAGAATGGAAGACAATATTTATCAATTATTCCTCTGATAAGGTTTTAGTATTCAGTATATGTAAAGAACTACAAAACTGAACAGTAGAATGACAACCCAGTTGAAATACTGGCAAAGACCTGGAATAGACATTATTCCAATAGTAAGTGCAAGAGAGGTACTCAACATCATTGATCATTAACAAAGCAAAACCATAATGAGATACCTCTTCACATCTAATAAGATGGCTATAATTTAAAAAATAAATGATAATAAATGTTGGTGAGGATATGAAGAAATTGAGAAATCAACCTCCTACATTTCTGGTGGGAATGTAATATAACTTCTGTGAATAATAGTTTGACAGAGGGCTGGGGTTGTGGCTCAGCGGTAGAGCGCTCGCCTAGTACATGCAAGGCCCTGGGTTCGATCCTTAGCACCACATGAAAATAAATAAACAAAAATAAAGGTATTGTATCCAACTTCAACTAAAAAATAAATGTTAAAAAAATAGTTTGACAGAGTTTCTATATTACTCACCATTTCCACTCTTATTTAATACCCCAAAGAATTAAAAACATAACTATACACAAAAACTTGTACATGAATGCTCATAGCATCATTTTTTGTAATAGCCAAAAAGTCGGGGGGGGGGGGAACCCATATCAGTTTTGATTAAAGGATAAACAAAATGTGGAATATCCATGTAATGGAATATTAGCCATAAAAAGGAATGAGGTCCTGAATAATGCTATAACATAGCTGAACCTTGAAAACATTATACTAAATAAAAGAAGCCAATATAAAAAAGGCCACATATGAAACGTCTTAGATGAGGTAAATCCATAGAGAAAGAAAGAAGATTAGCAATCACAGAGAAATTATGGAAAAAGAGAAATAGGATGGATGGGATTCTTTTTGGGAGGTGATAGAAATGTTCTAGAATTAGATACTGGTGATGTTGTACAGCATTGTAAATATACTAAAAATTACTGAATCATATATCTTAAGATGGTTAAAATGGTTAATTTTAGGTTATGTAAATTTTATTTTAAAACATGATTTTTTCCTTGGTATCAGGGATTGAACTCAGGGGCACTTAACCACTGAGCCACATCCCCATCCATTTTTAAAATTTCATTTAGAGACAGGGTCTCGTTAAGTTGCTTAGAACCTCGATAAATTGCTGAGGCTGGCTTTGAATCACAATCCTCCTGCCTCAGCCTCCCAAGCTGCTGGGACCACAGGTGGGTGCCTGTATGCCCAGCTCAAAATCATTTTAAATAAAGATCATATGTATGGTAAAAAAAAAATTACTTGCAAATCTACATTTTCAATAAAGTGTTAATAAGATCTAGAGGATTCTACATCTAAATGGATTATAATCATGTTTTTTGTTTGTTTGTTTCAGGATGCCAGGAAAGCATGTAATGATGCAACGCTTGTTCAGGTAGAGTTTTTCCCCCCCCAATTTGTTTTAGTGATTCATATGAAGTAACTTGACACTGATACGGATGACTTGGAGATTATCCTCATGAGTGTTTAATTGCAAATTTTCTTAATTGATACATAATGATCGTACATATTTACAGGTACAATGTGATGATGTGATGCAGGTACACAATACGTAGTGATCAAATCTGGATAATGAGCATTTCCCTTCTCTTCAACAGTTATCATATCTTTGTATTGGGAAGCTTCAAGCCCTCTCTTCTAGTTTTTTTATAAAATATATAATAGGTAGGCTGTTGTATTCTGTACTTCGTTGTAGAACATAAGAACTTATTTGTCCTGTATAACTGTATTGTTGTACCCATTACCCAATCCCCCCAGTCCCCACTTCCCTTCCTAGACTCTAGGGTGGCTGATTTTTTATTAAAGTTTAGAGGTTTATCTGTTCTTTTTAGTTAAGAGTCTTGCCTATAAAAACATATAGGGTTATTTTAAATTAACTGTAGTTTTTTATGAACAGTATTTTGATCCCATAATGATTTTGCAGAATTATTTAAATTGAATGAAAATTACTATAAATTTTATATCTGCTTTTTATCACCTACTAATTGAATATTTCAGGTTTATCTCCTGAACTGTATCTAAAGTAAAGAATAACATTTTTATTGCTTTCTGAAGATCACATCAAATATGGACTCCGTGGGTCGAATACAAATGCGAACAAGACGTACGCTGAGAGGCCACCTAGCTAAAATCTATGCTATGCATTGGGGATATGATTCAAGGTTTGTGCCTCTCACTTTCAATGTGTCAGCCAAATTGTTTTCCTTAAGAATTATCATTTGCATTTTCTTTGTTTAAAAACAAACTATATTTATGAAGTGTTTACAGAATATGCATCCAATACAAACACTTTCTTTTCTTTCTTTTTTTTTGGTACTTCGGATTGAACCCAGGGGTGCTTAACCACTAAGCCACATCCCAGGCCCCTTTTCACATTTTATTTAGAGACGGTCTTGCTAAGTTGCTGAGGCTGGCTTTGAACTTGAGATCCTCCTGCCTCAGCCTCCCGAGCCACTGGGATTATAGGCATGCACCACTGCACCCAGCCCCCTGAACACTTTATTTTCACTAAGAATATTCAAACTTTTCTTTCAGTGCAAGGATCAAACCCAGGGGCTCTTGAATCCTCTACCATTGAGCTATATCTGCAGCCTGAACGTTTAAAAACTTTTAATCTAGAAAGCCAGTTTACTTCTCAAAAAGACCTTTATCATATGAGCTGGGAAAACTATTTCAAAGAGGGTTTCTTTTTTTTTTTGCAGTAGGGTATTATACTTTTTTTTAATATGTCCAAAGCAGTTTTATTATATATTAACCTTGTCAGTTAATAAGCAAATATATATTGAACACTGTGTGCAAATTAGTAGATATTGCTACAATTTCTTACTACCTCAGTTCACAGAGGATCCAATTACATGAAACAAGGATATTTTTATTCACTACATCTTTTTTTACTCCCCCAACTCAACATATAAATGCATATGATCAAATTAAATCTGAGCATCAGCAGGTGCACACACACACATCTGGGCATACCTGTGGCTTACAGGATATATGGTTGGTTACAACCGTTCACTGTGTTCCTAGGGTTTCAGTTCAGGCTCCACTTTATCCAGCACATCTGGCAGTAGTAAATCTGCCTGCTGCCTCAGAGATCACCTTGTTTCTTTGATTTAGTTCATCTTACTGTGTAATGTAAGAAAATATTGTTTAATAAAGGTTGCACATGTGTTCTCTGCTTCCAAGAGACACACTAAAATTGTAAGTAAAGAAAGCCTCCCTCACTTGTTTCTCTTGGATATAAATGGGATACAGAGTAGTAATATACCCTGTGTGCCTCTTAGGAGGGGATAGATAAGATTATACAATTGACATAGAGCTAAGGCAAATACTGTATTCTTTTTCTTAAAAAAAAAATTAGGGTAAAAATAATTTGCCTTGTTGACAGGGCAAACTTTTAACCTGAAATCCTGTTATTTGAAATAACACTAGTCATCCTTTCTTTCCTTAAAAATATTCTCAAAAGCAAACAAGTCCCCCAGGAACCTGCCTCACATTGTCTTCCTACCCATTCTGAAACTGATGATGCCAATTGATTTTTGAAGAATTTTCCATGGGTTCCTATTCTCCACTATCAGATCTTCCTTTTTGTAACAACAAAATTAATATTTACAACATTAAGAACCAGATGATAGCCAGGCACAATGGCACATGCCTGTAATCACAGCGGCTCAGGAGGCTGAGGCAGGAGGATTTTGAGTTCAAAGCCAGCCTCAGCAAAAGCAAGGCACAAAGCAACTCAGGGAGACCCTGTCTCTAAATAAAACACAAAATAGGGCTGGAGATGTGGCTCAATGGTTGAGTTCAATCCCTGGTAACCACCACTCGCCCCCCCACCCAGCCCCTAGAAAAAAGAGAACTCATGATGTTATTTTCCTAAAGGGAAGGGAGCTCAGATGAGCTGCTGGGGATTAGACTTAGCAAGGTAATTTTTTTTAATCTTCTAAATTTTATATCATGGTGAAAAATATAATTCCAGAATAAAATTAAAAATTCAATGACTAATAAGTACTTAGTCAAGAGTTTATACCCCATAGTCTAGCAAATAATGTTTTCTGTAGTTAAGCCTGGTCTATTTTTCTTAGCTTATGTTTCCTATTTTTCACAAACTCTACAAAATTGGAAGACCCCGTCCTGAAACATTCACTGTATTTTTCCACCTGTTTTCATTGATCGTACTTCAGCCCTACCCTTAGAATACACAGTTTTCTCTATCTTTAGCTGTTAATTCCATTTTTAAATATGCATTATCTCTCTCTCTCTCTCTCTTTTTTTTTTTGGTGGTGGTGCTGGGGATTGAACCCAGGGCCTTGTGCATGTGAGGCAAGCACTCTACCAACTGAATTTTAATTAATTCAACTAGCAGTTATTCATTCCTCTTTTACTTTCCTGTGGGATGTACTTTATACCACTCTTGTGACAGTTTTCACTCCCTTGACTTATTATAAATGTACACAAACGTCTTTTCTCCTCCAGATGGTAGAGAACTCAAGGATGGAGATAGGGCCACATTGTACCTGTGACACTGCAGTGCACTCACAGATCCCCTTTGGTGTGTTTAGATTGAATGAAGTGTGCCTTTAAGTCTATATGTAGTCTACTGCCATTCAATTTAATTAGTAATACTAAACGAGCCAGCCAGTCAGCTAATGTCTACCAAAACCTTGAATAATGATGTTGAATCATAGTCACAGACATTCTCAGTCAAATTGCTAAATTTTGTGATGTATGTTCAAAATTTTTGCATGTAGCATAAATTTTTTAAAAGTTGGAAGAACATTTCTTGGTATCAGGTTTTTATTGGAAAAATTTGTTACTTTCTTTTCTGAACTGTCCTACATTAATGCAATGCATAAATAATTTAAACTCTTTTTTCCTCTAAGTATCAAATTATTTTTGTGTTTGTTCCTCTAGGCTACTAGTAAGTGCTTCCCAAGATGGAAAATTAATTATTTGGGATAGCTATACAACAAATAAGGTAGAATTTCTTAATCCTTCTTCTAAGTAATCTTGTGTTTGTTTTGCTGTCCACCAATTCTTTCTTTTATTCTTTCTTCAAACTTTATTTGCCTTCTGAGATCAACATTTTATTTATTTTAATCTAGATCCTCTCTTTAGGCTTAGTGTTTGCTTTTAATGTTTAATCCTTTTTTTATTTCCAAGGAAAAACTACAGGAATATTGTTCAGAGTGTTTGGCTTGAATTTCCTTATTTATATAGAAATTTTTTTGCATAAATTATTTTTTTTAAATCACATTTTCTAATGTGAAAGACCCAGAGATTTTTATTTCTAGTATGGGTAAGCTAGATGGCTAGTATAAAGCTTTTCCTTGGCCCACTCTAGGCATTGATTTCTGGTTCTGGACTAATTGGAAGATATAGTAGATTAGAGGCAAATTACTACTTGTTTAGGTCTCTTGGTGGCCAAATACAGGATTCTCTTAATATATCCACTGGAAGGAAGGAATCCCATTATATTTATAATAATCCCAGTAATTATTTAGTGAGATAATAACTTCTTCTTTTTTTTTTTTTTTTTTTTTTTTGGTGCTGTTGATCAATCCCAGGGTCTTGCACATGTTGGGCAAGTACTCTATCAGAGCTATACCCCAAGCTGCTTGAGATTTTAAAGCTAGCTAAGATAACTATATAACAGTTTTTCTGTATTAATGGGCATTAAGCATGTCTCTTTCAACTCCATTTTTTTTAAAAAATTGCACTTCAAAAACATTATTTTAGGTTAAGGAAGAGCATAGTAGTAGGCATGGGATGTCTTCATTCCCCATACAGAGCATTTAGCTTTGTTTTTCCAGACACCTTCAGTTTTTCCATGTGACCTGCAGAAGTTTGGAGTCAAGTCACCAGACAGGTGTGACTAGATCTACTCACAACTATTACCATTGTTTGAGTGAGAACTCAGAATCTGTGCCTATTAATGTAGGGATGCTAGTGTCATCTCTTTGTGAAAGAATGTCTTTAACGAACTGATACTTGTTAATTACCTTCCTTTTTATTGTTCGGTGTTATGGAGGAGATTCTTCTTTTGCGTGCCACTCAATGTTTCAGATGGGTATTTTAGCATTGGGACACCCTTATGTCTGTGCTTGTACTAAAAGAAATTTCTAAAAATAATACTTCTTAACTCCAAATGATTTAATAATGCAGAAATAATAGTAAAAGGCATTTGTATGTGGATTGGTATTTAAAATTTGATAATTTTGAAAGATAAATACTTTTTCAAGTCGTTATATTTTTATTTGGCTTATTTTTCTTATATGTATTTAATTTTAATGATATTTACTTCATTGTAAGTAGATTTTAAAAATAAATGACTGTTTTTAATCTTTCCTTAGTGATAGTTTGTGGGTTGTATTTGTTTCATAGATGCACGCTATTCCTTTGAGATCCTCTTGGGTGATGACCTGTGCTTATGCCCCGTCTGGTAATTATGTTGCTTGTGGAGGTCTGGACAACATCTGCTCTATATATAACTTAAAAACCAGAGAGGGAAACGTGAGAGTGAGCCGAGAGTTGCCAGGTCACACAGGTGAGCATCACTAAACACTCTTCTCTCCTGTACCACCTTGCTTCTTCCCTAGACTTCACTGACCCAGGATACATGACAAATTGGGCTTAACTGACTAAAGGATGAGTGTTAATGGGGAAAGAATAGAAATTAATCTGAAATAGGGAAATGATAACTTTTAAAAATCATGCATGCAATGACCTTAATTTTATTTTAATATTATTTGGGTACTAGAGATTGAACCCAGGACCTCATGCATGCTAACCACATGCTTTCCCAAGGAACTGTACTACTTTCAGCTCCCTACAATTTTATTTTTTTCTTCTGAAAATAGCAGTTGTTCCTGTAAGAAATGATAAATTTACTATAAAAATTTAAACAATCATGAAAAATATAAAATAAAAAGACAATGCAATTATTTATCTTTTCTGCTACCATGTAACAAGTATGGGATTCGTGGCATCTGTACTTAGTTATATAATCAAAAGTATGAATGATAATACGTGAAAGGAGCATTTTGCACTGTGTGATATTGGCTTGCCTTATTTGCCAGTGTGCACCCCCACAGTTCTGTAGTGTAGTACTTGGTTAGTGGCGTTAATAGGAATTTATTGCCACTCCTTTGATTTCTACATATCTGAATTTTTGTCATTACTATTTATTGTGTTTTTACAAAAGTCTCTAGCACAGTATTTCCCTGCCATTTCCATACTATGAAGTACTGAGAGACTCTGGGCATTCATATGCTACATCTTTCATAAAACCTTCATGGATGTTCTCATTTCTCTCTGCATTTTTAAGGTTTCCTCCCAGGTTCTTAACAGCTTAGATTGTAATTAGGTGTGTAAGGGAGCATCTTCTTTCCTGGGTAACTGTCTTAGATGTTGTCGTCAGCTTTGTAACCTTCAGAGTGCCCAGTGTCATTGAGGTACTGAGTGCCTCAGTAGAACTTGTTGATACAAGTTAGTTGCAGACAGTGTGGAGTTGAAGTAATGAAAAGCAGAACTATAGATCATACAGACACACTCGCCACCCGGGTGTTATATTTTTGAAAGAATAATACTATTCCATGTGATACTTGGCTTATTTGATCAGTGATATAACCTAAAATTTTCCACTTTCTGTGCTGCAGGCTACTTGTCCTGCTGTCGATTTTTAGATGACAGCCAGATTGTTACAAGTTCAGGAGATACAACTTGGTAAGTTTATCCCAGAAGTACACTGATTGGAGGTTGAGGGTAGTTTGTAGGAGCTAACAGCAGACACAATACTGGTCATTGAGGTTGTTTTTTTTTTTTTTTTTAATTACAGTGCTTTATGGGACATAGAAACTGCCCAGCAGACCACCACATTCACTGGGCACTCTGGAGATGTCATGAGTCTTTCTCTGAGTCCTGACATGCGTACTTTTGTTTCTGGTGCTTGTGACGCCTCTTCCAAATTATGGGATATTCGAGATGGAATGTGTAGACAGTCTTTCACAGGACACGTCTCAGATATTAATGCTGTCAGTGTAAGTGCATCACATTTTTGTTTTTGTTTGTTTTGAAATTGTATTTTTTTAAAAAATTTATTATGCATTTAAAGTCTTGAACTCTGTGGCAAGATTTTAATAACAAACTTGCTCTCAAGGATTCTTATAAATAATGTGCTCTTTTACATCAAATTCCCAAATAATAGTGTTTTATGTGAGAAAAAGTTTAATCCAGAGATGAAACATAAGAATTATTTTTGTTGTTATTTATGTGGTGCTGGGGATTGAACCCAAGGCCTTGAGCATGATAGGTGAGGAATCTACCATTGAGTTACACTCCCAGCCCAAAATACAGGTTTCCTTTCAAATTAGAGGGATAGCTCACCTTGAAGAAGCAGGATGTCCACAGCAGTGTGTTCAGATGAGAAAAACATCTCTCTTGGGCCAAAGGGAAAAACCTGGAGAGAGACCAATAACAAATGAAAAGGCAGTTGTTTAGTGTAAAGAGTGTAGCTTCTGAGGTGAGCTGTACTTGGGATTTTTAAATATTAGTTCTGCCACTTACTGTCTGCATGAGCTCTCATTTAAAAAAAAAAAAAAGAAAGAAAGAAAGAAAGAAAAAACCAGAGAACTGTAAGTTGATTAAGCCAGACAAAAAGTACTCAGTATATGTGAGAATGAACTAGTCATATGTGTTTATAAATAGAATAAAGCAAAAGTGACATTCTGCAGTCAAATGCTCTACCACTGAGCTATACCCCCGTGCCTAAAAGTGACATTCTGAATAGCCTTCAAAATGATTATCAGTGGTGAGGATCCAGGGGAAAGTGTTAGGAGATGTGGGACTCTGCCACAGGCAAATGTCCCTATGTACGTCAGATGCCAAAGTGTATAGATGTGCCTGGGATTTCCAAAAGTACCACTGTCACCAAAGACAGATGTATAACACATTCTAGTTTTATAAGAAGATATTTTCAGATTTAAAAAATGGTTAAGTTTTTATCATTTACATATTGAAAGTCATTTTTACATGATTTTAAGGAGAACATCAGAGAAAGTAAATATTTTGCTACCCCCACCCCGAGGTCAGCCTGTTTTGAGAGTCTTAGAGCTGGCAAGCCCAGCCCTCCCGACTCACCCCAGCATGTCTCTCAGGCTAGGATGTCCTCTTGTATTCCTAATTCACTAAGTTCTGAAATCAGGAAAGGGCATTGAATTTTATCAGGTACCTTTTCTCCATCCGTTGAGACGGTCGTGTGTAGCTTCCCCTTTTCAGTCTGTTAAAATGGTGAATTTACATTGATTGATTTTTCTTCTGCTTTTTGCGGGGAGGTGGGCTGGATGTTATCACTATCTTTTCTAAAATAAATATTGAGATTTTCTTTTGGAATCATCCACACTGTCAAATGGTTCAAAAGAAGATATGATTCCTTTTTTTGTCTCAGATGGAATTATGACCAACTTTATTGTATTTTCACTTTCTAGTTATATTCAGTGGTGACTTTTAATTTACCAAAAATTTTCTCATACTGTTTATCGTGTGCTAGGAACTCAAGCCATAATACCTGATTTGTAGGCAAGACCCATTTAAACCTCACTGAATAGTTCACTGAGTTTCTGAAATTTTATACTTGAGTTTATATTTGTGGGACCTCCATGTGTTTCTTGGCAGTAAAGGTATTGTTAATAATTATAAATTGGAATTATTAATTTCATTCCCAGGACCAAATGCAGCTGTTCCTATCAAGGCTCTCCCCAACCCCAGCTTTAAAAGGGTATAAGTGACAAATAAAATCTTTACATATTTATAATGCATAGTTATGTTCATACATATATACACACACCGTGGAATGCATTAAATGAAGCTAACTGACATTTATCACTGATTTTTAAATATTAATGCACCCCTGCATTTCCGGGACGAACCACAATTGGTTATAATGCATTATTCTTTTTATATATTAGTGGATTTGATTGCTGAAATTTTTGTTGTGAAGTTTTGCATTCCTGTTCATAAAGTCATTGCTCTATTTTTCATTTCTGGAAATGTTTTGTCTGGCTTTTGTATCAAATAATGCTGGCCTCAGGGGAGGAGTTGGGAAGCCTTCCCTCCTATTCCTATTCAGCTTTCTGGAAGTTTGTATAGAATTGTTATTGCTTCATAAATACTTGGCTGAATTTATCTGTGAAGCTGTCTAGCCAGGAAGTTTTCCTCAAAAAGATTTTAAACTACAGATCTTATGTCATATTAGGTGTAGGCTCTTTTCTTTTTTGTACTGGGGATTGAACCTAGGGGAGCTTTACCACTGAGACACACCCCAGTCCTTTCTAAATTTTATTTTGAGATAGGATCTTGCTAATTTGCTGAGACTGGCCTTGAATTTACAATCCTCCTGCCTCAGCCTCCTGAGTTGCCAGGATTATAGGTATGCACCACTGTACCTGGCCTATTTTTTTTTGAGTGAGTTTTGGTAGTCTGTATCTTTTAAGGGATTCATATCATCTACACTGTCAAATTTATTGGTTTTAAATTTTTTATACTCTTTCCTTACTATTCTTTTAATATTTGTAGAATATGTAGGATTTTTCCTTCTCATTCATGGTGTTGGTAATTTGTACTTTTTCCTGAATAGTCTGGTACTGTGGGCTGAATTGTGTCCATCCAAAATTTATATGTTGAAGCCCTAAGCCCCAGTAACTTAGAATGTGACCTTGTTAAAACAGGTTTATTACAGATGTAATTACCTAAATGAGGTCCTCCTGGTTTGGGTGGGCCACTCTCCAAAGTGACTGGTGTCGTTATGAACGAGGGAGGTTTGAAGACAGCTGAGCATAACGAAAAGACAGATATGAAGAGAGCAGGGAGAAGATGACCATCCACAAGCGGAGGAGAAAGGCCTAATGGGCTCTTCCTTCACAGCCCTCAGACCTCTTGATATTGAACATCTAGCTCCCAGAACTGTGAGACCACACATTTTGTTGTTTAAATCACCAGTTTGTGATGCCTTGTTATGGCAACCTTAGCAAAATGAACAATTCTAGCTGGAAGCTTAGCAGTTTTACTTATCTTCTCAAAGAACCAGCTTTTGTTTTTTGGAGGTTTTTTTTTTGGTTGTTGTTGTTGTTTGTTTTTTGTTTGTTATTGAGGATCCCTGAGCCTTTCACATGCTAGGCAAGTGCTCTGCCACTGAGCCACATCCCTATCCCTGAGCTTTTGTTTCCAATGATGTTCCCTATTTTTTTTGTTTGTTTGTTTTCTATTTTATGGATTTTTCACTCAGATCTTTATTATTTTTCAATTGAATGAAACTTGGATTTTATTTGCTTTCTTTCTCTATTTTCTTAAGGCAGAAACCGATATTGATTTGAAACTATTTTCTTTTCTAATACTGGAGCTTACACCTATAAATTTCTTTCTCAGTATTGCTTGAAACTATGTCCTTCAAATTTTGATGCTTTGTGTTTTCATTTTCATTCAGTTCAGAATTCTGATTTTCTTTAATTTCTTCTTTGACATATTTGGACATGTAAGTTAGCGTTGGACTTTCTCCAAAGGAATGACGGAGTGTTTTGCTGTTATTCAAATGAAAGCAAATGATCAGAAATACTAGAGCGTGAGTGGGCTGTAAGGATTTGGTAAAGTCTTGCTTTTCAGAGGACCTTCTGAACGGCACTGTAGTCAGGGATGACTGATGAAGAGAGGCTTAGAAGATGGAAGGAAGAAATTGTGAGAGGCTTATCAAGCCCTCAAGGAGTTTGAAAAGGAAAAGAATTTGCCAATTAGTGTGGAGACACCACCTCCACCAGCACCAAGCTTTCACCATCCTAAAAAGCATTACAAGTGTTTGCATTTCCAGAAACTGATTAACCTGTGAACACTGCCTACCCCACCAACACCTGGATTGTGAAACACAACAAAGGCATTCACCTGGTAGCAAGAGGACAGTAGTAACACTATCACCGTTATTTAAATCATTCTGAAACTTCCAGCCAGTATAGTTAGATTACAATGAAAATAAGAGATGCATTAGAAAGTAGGAAAAAATATTATTTGAAGGAGGTATGTTTAGCTATCTAGAAACCCAAAGAAAAAAGTTCACTGTATATTCTGGATTACAAAAACTATTTTAAAAATCAAATATGTACCTAGCATAATTTTGTCAATTTCATTCCATAATTCCTTTTTTTCCCTTCCTTCCTTCCCCTCAATCCCCTTCTTTTACTCCATTGATCCCCTTCTATTTTAATGGGATCCCCTCTTATCCCTTACTTTGCTCTAGCTTCTGCATATGAGAAAAAATATTCACCTCTTGACTCTTCTGAGTCTGGCTAATTTCACTTAGCATGGTGCTCTCCAATTGTATCCATTTACCAACAAATACTGTAATTTGATCCTTCTTTATGACTGAGTAAAACTCTGTTATGTATATATCCACACTTTCTTTACTTGTTCATCTGTTGAAGGACACCTGAGCTGGTTCATACGTACCAATGAAAGCACCGACGAAGGAAAACAATACATAAATAGATGGAAAACCAGTAGAGTAGAGGAAGAGGAAGGGGAAGAGGGGTGGGGAAGAGGGAAAGCAGCAGCAGCAGCATTGGGGACTTAAATGGAGCAAATTATAACATATATATGAATGATTATGACAAAATGGACCCCACTATTATGTGTAACTATAATGCACTAATAAAAATATGTTTAAAAAATCAGCGGCTATCTATACCAATAATTACTTGTGAGAAAATATAAAGGAAGGAAATCCAATTGAGAACAACAATAATTATAAGTAAGTGTACCAAAAATCATGCAGATCTTTATGAAGAAAACAAAACTGTAATACTAAATATTTATATTTAATAACTGAAAATACCTTCCATTGGATCAAACTAAGCATCCCTCAATCTTATTTTAAAACTCTAGAGATGGTCGCATGGCTCAGTGGTAGAGTGCTTGCCTAGCAATTGTGAGGCCCTGGGCTTAATCCCCAGCACACACACACAAAGAAGAAAAACAATAATCCAAGTGGTGTTTTGTTTTGCTGAGGAGAATCTGAGGTATGTAGAGAAAAGACACGTGACCAAAATCTGTGAAATTCAAGCAGGGAAAAAGGGAAATGGACTGATTTGAAGCAGAAGAGTAACAAAAGTGTTTTGCCAAGCCAGATTATAAAAATTTACTATTTTATACTTATTTTTTAAAAAGGTGATACAAAAAAACTGTGACACAGGTGTGACCAAGGGTAGGCAGAAAACTCTAGAATTACTATATATAAGAATTTAGTGAGTGCTGAGATGTAGCTTGGTGGTAGGGCACTTGCCTAGAATACATGAGGCCCAGTTTGATCCCCAGAACTAAGAAAAAAAAAAAGTTGCCCAGAATGTAGTGAATGACTTAGCAAATCAATAGAAAAATCAGTTAACAGAGGGAACAATTGCTGAACTATTAAGAAAATTGCATTACATTCTTACACTGAATGCTGTTTATCGAATAATCTCCAGATGAATAAAAATTAAGATGTAAAAATGAAATTAAAATGAACATACAACATTTATCAGCTATCAACCTGGAGAAGGTTCATAAAAGCAATGAAAGAAATCTCAAAGGGAAAGATAAAGTTGATTGCACAAAAATGTAAAACTACTGAGAGAGAGAGAGAGAGAGAGAATTTTTTTTTTTTTTTTCTTTTTCTGTACTGGGGCTTGAATTCAAGGGTGCTTAACCACTGAGCCATATCACAACCCTTTTTATTTTTTACTTTGAGATAGGGTCTCACTAAGTTGTTTAGGGCCTCAGTAAGTTGCTGAGGCTGGCCTCAAACTTGTGATTCTCCTGCCTCAGCCTCCTGTGCTGCATATTTTTAAAGTAAACAATATTAAAAGACAAACAATAAGACTGTAAAGTAATATTTGCAACAAGGAAACAGATGAATTTATTTATTCCCATAAATTAAAAAATCAACAACCCAAAGGAAGAAAATACACAAAGATCATGAATAAATCAGCCCACAAAAATAATATAGATGGCTGATAAACATATGAAAGAATGTGATTTTCCCTTTGTAAAAAATTCATTGTTATGTAGTCCCAATATCTGAGAAATATTATTCACAGAGTAATCCTACATAATTTTCTTTATTACTCATTTATTACCTAGTATCATTGTAATGTTTTATGTTTTCTTTTATAAAATTTTTTCTATATCTCATGATTTTGGAATATTTCTTCATATATATATATATATATATATATATATATATTCAAAATATCCAAATATTCAAAAATCTTCATATATATGTATATATATACGTATATGCACATATACTTAAATACACATGCCACATTATTCTATAAATAATAATACATGACTTAAATGGTTTTTTACACAATGTAACAATATAATTTGACCAATATCACTCCCTAGCACTTCCCCGCTCTATCCCCTGTTGATTTCAGTGTTTTAATAAACATACCAGAGGAGCAGAGCCAATATTTATTAACATTTGCTATGTGCTGAACAGTGGACTAGGTGCTTTGCATATGTCATTTTATTCAATGCTAACTCTGAAACTAAGGCTCAGAATATTTAAAAATCTTTAGTGTCTAGCAGTCACTTACAAGGTAAGTAACAAAGTTGGAATTCTAATCTAGATCTGCCTTGATCCAGTCTGTTATTATACTGCCTCCCATGATTTTTATGTACACATGTGGAATAAATGTGTGTTGCTTTTCTTTCTAGTTTTTTCCAAACGGATATGCCTTTGCCACTGGCTCCGATGATGCTACTTGCCGGCTCTTTGACCTCCGAGCAGACCAAGAGTTGTTGTTGTATTCTCATGACAATATAATCTGTGGAATCACTTCTGTGGCTTTCTCAAAAAGTGGGCGCCTCCTGCTGGCTGGTTATGATGACTTTAATTGTAACGTATGGGACACGCTGAAAGGAGATCGTGCAGGTTGGTAAATAAGTCCCCAGGAGCTTCAGAGCCTTTGTGTTCATTGTCATTACCCTTGGAGTGGACCTACAAACTATCGTCTGTATTTTTATTAAGGTTTCTGAAGAGTAACATTAAGTTCCATAATATTTTCTTGTTTGCTAAATTTCAGTATAAGATGAATAATGAATATGACTTTTATAATAAATCTCAGTTTTCTTAAAACCTGACAGGAAGTAGTTTAACTACTGTGGGTTGTCTTCTGGGACAGATCTTGTCGGGGGTAGGATATAGACCTATTATCTTCCTTTAGTCTCATTCTTGGATTTCTCCTTTGCAGGTTTCCAAATATTAGAATACACAATCAAGCCACATTGGGGACTGTGGTTAATAACAAATTAAAGCAATTTTAATTTTTAAAAAATCAAAATTTTACTTTAAATTATATTTAAGCAATTGAATATTTCTGTGTGACTTGCTACCTTTGACTTTAACCCATATATTCCACTTTCCAAAGTAGTTACTTTAGACTTTTATTTATTTCCATATCTTTAAAATAGGACTATATTGATGGTACTCGATTTTTTTTTTTCTTTTTAAGAAACTTTGAGGCATTCTCTGTTGAACTACTGTCATGGATGGCAAGGGTATGGCTTAGCATCCCTGCTCCCTCAATAACCACAGGCTTCCCATCTTCCAGTTTTCCCATACAGCTTGTTTTGTTTACATTCATAAACAACATTGTGTGATACATGACTTTTTAAGAAGTGTTTATTACTGAACAATGAAGTATACTTTGACATCCTTTGCTATACAGTATTTTTGTATTCTCTGGAGTTCAGTTGATTTTTTTAGATTATCTTTTTGGTTCTGATGGGCTGGTCACTAATGAATCCTCAGACTTTCTTTTGTCTTTGAGTAGATCCATTTTCATTCATTGCACTGGGTACTTGGTGAACTTTTTTGAATTTGTTTTTGTGGTTCTGGAGATTGAATCCAGGGCCTTGAGCAGTACTACAGAGCTATATCCCCCAGTCCTTCTGATTTCTTTTGAGTTAATGGTCTTCTATGTTGCTGAAGGATAATATATATATGATGTTGTTCTAAGTTGCTGGGCTTGGTCTTGAACTTGTGATCCTCATAACTCAGCCTCCTGAGGTGCTGGAATCTTCATCTTTTCTTTCAACCCTTAAGTGTTGGTTTCCATTTTTGCTGCCATCTTTTTAAGAGCTGTTTTTGTCTCTCATTTTTATGGCATCTATTATTTTTCTCATGATTGATGTCTTCTGCTTCTTTGACATTACTAGTGAATTATTTTTTAAGTTTTCTTCTTCAAGCATAGTCTTTTGTTTTTCCAGTTTTTTTTCTATGTTCCTATTTTTTGTTCTCTCCTGTCCTTATTTTTGGATTATTTCCTTAAAAGACTAGTGATTCTTGGCTTCTTGCTCATTCTTATGAGGCACCAAAACTATTTGAAACTCCATATATCCAGCTATGGTTGGGTGTGTTGACAGTAGGGCTCATCTAGCCAGGCTTTCACTGGGGAACCTGTGAAACCTCTCCCCCTCTTTGGACTAGCCATGTTCCACCCCAGATGCATCTTTTACTTTTCTACCTGGAATGCATAATCTAGCTGCTGGTTTGAGGGCTGATTTCCAGAAAAAAAAAACTAGGAGCCATAATTAGAAAGTAAACTTTATAGCTAGGCATGGTGGTACACACTTGTAATCCCAACAACTTGGGAAGCTGAGGCAGGAGGATTGCAAGTTAAAGGTCAGTCTGATAATTTAGTGAGACCCTGTCTCAAAATAAGGGCTGGAAAGGTAGCTTGGTAGTAGAGCGTCCTTGGGTTTCATCCCCAGTACTGAAAAAAAAAACAACACTTTTTTTTTTTACATTTCTCATTCCCAAACCCTCTCCAAAATGGATACTTAATTTTATCCTGTGTAGGAATCAGGATATCAAGTGAGTTTAAGATGAAAGGAAATAAAAATTCATTGAGTTGGATGGTTTAGAGTTATAACCAACATTATAACCACAGTTATGTTTGGTGGATAACAGAATAAACTCTATATATGGAGAGAGCAAAATTGAAATATCATGAACATATTAGTGATGGAAACTTCAGTTTTTCTAGAAATATATATAGTTGGTATTGGAAATAGAGATATAAGGCAACTTTCATGTTTTTGTTCTTGTAAAAAAAAGTCTACTTCATTGAACTTCACTTAAAATTTTATTTTTGTTGAAAGCACAGCTCAGTAGCAAAATTGAAATATCATGAACATATCAGTGATGTAAACTGTGGTTTTTCTAGATATAAAATAGCTTAATTACAGAATGTTTTTTTAAAAACTAAAAACAAATTGATGTATATATCAACAATTCAAATAATACAAAAAGGTGTGTTTTACGTACGTCTTAACTTATTGCGGTCTGCCCACTCAAAGGAACCTGGTTACCCTGCTAGAGTACATACCTTTAAAATGTTTGTGTACATACTTTTTAAATACTAAAACAATGGTTGCTAACTTTGTATTGAACTATTTTTTTTTAGGTGTCCTCGCTGGTCATGACAACCGTGTCAGCTGTTTAGGTGTGACAGATGATGGCATGGCTGTGGCAACAGGATCTTGGGACAGTTTTCTTAGAATCTGGAATTAACAGTGTCATACATATTGTCTGTTCTCCATTAATAATCTGGAGAAATCAATACTACAGCCTATAGCTGTGAAAAAAATCTACCTTTTATTTGCAGGTGAAGATTTTTCTATTGAGTTATTATATACAAAAGCAGCTTTTGGGAAATTACAAAAAAAATGGGGGAAACAAACAAGGCAAGGTACCTGTGAAAATCAGAAGGACCAAGTGTATTAATTTGAGAGTTGGGTGAATTTAACATTGAGGAATTTTTGCTCGTACTGAGTTTAATTATTTCTTTATGTAGAATAGAATGTACACTTTATAGCAGCTGGTCATTGTGTTTGCATTTTGTTAAGAACTACATTTTAAACTTTTTATACATAAGAAATGTCACGTTTTTGAGTTTTGTAATGGAAGGCACAATGATAGATGGAAGTGATACTGTACGTGTGTGCTGTTTGAGGGAAGTCCCCTTGAATCCTGAATTGCTTTTTAATCTGAAAGGGATACTGATTGCTTACTAAGAGCATGGGTAGATAAGGGGAATCATTAGTGCATTCTTTGCCATGATGTCAGTCTAAATAAGTGCTCACTTTATAATGGCCAGAGATAGAGATTTCACTCTGACATTTTGGACATCTCTAAGAAACTTCATTAGAATTTATTACATTAGTAAAAAGTATACTAGCATATAAATAATTCTTGGCATTTTAAAAGACTGATCATGATCAATTGCCACTTTTGAGTAGCCCTTCCTCTTGAGTTGCACCTTCCTCTTGATTTCATATTCTGGATCTAAGTTGTAGGGTTTACTTATATTTCAGAAGTTTGATAAACATTTGGATTGTCCCTGCATCTGAAGACTCTGTCCTAGTATTCTTTACTAATATACATCTAGATGAAAAATTTAGTGTGACAACATTAACATTTTTCAGAGAAGTATAAACTTCAACTATTTGCTAGCACTGATTTGTTATGTAATAAGGTGGCTTTATGAATTTTTTTATGTAATATAAAATCTTATTTGATATAAACTATCTATTCTCTCAAATTCTTAAAATGAAACATTTAAGCTTTTTGCTCTCCTATAGTAATATTCTCTCAATCCCACAAAATACTGGTTTCTAAGTGGTTTTGCTTCAAAGACTATCTATGTCTAAGTGATTCTACTTGAAAGCAAAATTTAAAAAAAAAATTCAAAGCGGCTTTTGCCTGAAAGTCAGAAAAATATACCACACAATTCTTCTACTTGTCAAAAGTATAATAGGTCAGTTACTACAATGTCCCTTCCACCAATCTAAACAATAATACTTCACTTCTTTGATTTTTCTCCTACAAGTAGATCTAAATGATTGACAATAGAAGATTGTTAGTCTTGCTTGATGCTTAAGTCATGGGTTATTCTGATATATAGCAGTGCACTGTTGTTTTGTAACTTGGTAAACTGTTAAGTTATTGTTCAGATATTTGTGTGTTCAGATAGTTGTGTGTTAACTTTTGATAACCTATAACCCTAATCTAAGTACACCCAAATTGTACCTATAAATTTTCATTTTTATATTATGAATGTGCTAAAATGTGCATTAACCGCAATGAAATCAGTGTCAGTTTTGTTTATTAAGGCCAGTTGATAATAGAAAGAGAATAAAAGGATAAAGGCAAATTAAGATAAAGGACCAAAACAATATTATAGATGGCAGGTGTGCGTGTATATTTGTATTTTAATTAGTATTACTGTCAACTTTTTGCTGTTATTTGTGAACTATTTATATCACTTCATAAAGAGTAGCTCTTTGAGATAAGCCACATTTTAAAGGAACATATCCATTTCCAAAAAAGGTAGTTCATTCCAAAATCCCATTCAAGGAAGCACTTCTGTTATAACCATGTATATATACACACAAACTTATATAGATATGTGTGTATATAGATATATATGTACATATGTATGTATGTTATCTTCTGCTAAAAGTTATTGTAACAAGAGACTTTAGTCAGAAAAACATAATACATGCTAGAACCCTATGGTCTTAACATTTTTAAATGACATTTATTTTAATGTTACTGTTTGTGTAGAGAATTTAAAGCAATTCTCGTATTAGACAAATGAAAACTGACCACAACTGAACACTTGTACATAGGACCAGTTGGTGAAAAAGTAGTGTAATTACAACAGTAACTACCTTATGAAACCTTTAGCTTTCTACTGCTAGGGGTTCCAGTTGCTAGATCTGTTTATTTGCAGTTTGAGTTCAGCTGAATTTCTAATTCTGTTTTTGTGCATAAGACTTCCTAAAATCAGAGTATATAATTGCAGTTTGGATCTTAAGTTTTTCAAGGTTTAAAAATATGGCCAGTTCAATTTTAAAGAATTTGCATCATCAGGAATATTGCAGCCAGGTGTGGTGGCACACACCTGAAACCCAGTGACTCAGGAGGCTGAGGCAGGATGATCCCAAGTTCAAAGTCAGCCTCAACAACTTAGTGAGACTCTTTCTCAAATTAAAAAAAAAAAAAAAAAGGCTGTAGACATAGTTCAGTGGTTAAGGGTTCCTAGGTTCAATTCCTGGCCCCCCTCTCAAAAAAAAAAAAAAATTGCAGTTATCTGGTACCTATTAGTTTTTCTTCTTTACCTTTTTAAGCAACATGTAAACATAATGTGCCTCAGCAGGTTACATGTAGACTCTTTATATCACAGAGTTGCTTTTTGAGATCTTGGGGGAATGGTCTGTGTTTGTTTTTACAAGATAGAGTAGGGTTTCACTATGTTGCCTCAAACTCCTGGGCTTCAAGGGATCCTCCTCAGCTTCCTAAGAACTACACACATGCACAATATCCCTCTGGCAAGAATATTTTAAAGGAACATGTTCTTTTCTAAAGCTCCATAATCACCAGGCAAATCATCCCAAATCCTTGCTCAAGAAAGCAGTTCCTGTCATCAGCAAGGATATTTCCTTCACTTTGGACAGGATTCATTTTTAGCAGATATACTATTTGACCAAATATTGAAGGTCCTCCCTAGCTCAAAATTTAAGTTGTGATACACCACATTGAATTCTAAATTCATAGAGGCAGAGGTATGGGCTTAGTATTTCGGTAGCTAGAGAACCTAGTAAGCAATTCTCAATTTAGACTTAGCTGAGCTGATTAATATTGCATGGTAGTATAAGCTAGTTTCCCTGAGATAATAAATGTAAATGTTTCTGAAATGTTGGATTTTAACCTATTAAACGTTCTTTTCTCCAGGTGACAGATTGTTGGTTAAAAAGGAAAAAAAAAAAAAATGCTGTGCCAGGTTGCGGCTGTATCTCAGTGGCAGAATGCTTGCCTAGCATATGAGGTGCACCAGGTTCGATCTTTAGCACCACATAAAGGCATTCTGTCCATACAGAACTACAAAAAAAAAAAAAAAACTTAAAAATGCTGTGCCATTGCTATATAACTGAGCTCCAATCCTGCTGGTCCAAGACATTGTTTTAAAAGCGAAAATGTTCAGGGAAATTTAGGCATTGATGTGAATGTCTCAATTTTAAATTATAATGCAATACATGTTACTTATTGTTGATGAGTTTAACTTGGAAAAACTGATTAAACAGTTCCCTAAATGGGTTCCTTGTCATTTTAGCAATGAATGTTCTTTCTAGAATCTTTAGAACCTAAGTCAGGCTTGTAATTAAGTACTATGTTCAGCTTCACATTTCCCTTTTGCCATTGTGAAAAGTAAAATTTTAAGTTGTTTCTTACCTCCCGTGAGAATTTTTTAAATCATCCACAGGTGAGACCGTCTTTTTAATGAGAAAATGTAGTTCCATAAATAAAACTGGTACCTTAAATTGGATTAAGTAGAATATGAAATATACTTCAGATTTACTAGTTTTTCTTCTGTTATTCATCTTGTGTTGGCTCAAATTCAATACTATATTTTAAAATATTGGTTAAAATAGGTACACCTTAAAAATATTTTCTAGAATGTGTACGCTAGCATTGTTTTAAATTTTATCAGACTGATGGTACCACCTTGTATTTTAGCAAGTGTTTTACATGTTGAGAAAACTTTCTTAAAAAGTCACTTTTCTTAAGTACAATGACTGATTTTGAAAAATGTATGATAATGCAGCATTAAGGAAGAAAAACGTGTTCGAACTCGTATTATATGTACCCAACAAAATATTACATCATATTTATTTTTAATTAACATAACTTCAGTGATATACTGGTAGGATATTTCAAGCCTTTCTGTCTTTTACACAATGGTGCTCTATCCTATTGTTTTCTTTCAAAGAAGCATCTGAACATTTGCATTTTCTTATCCAAAGGCATCTATGTCAAAGTGTGTCTTTAAAGTTGGTTAAAATAATTTGTTAAAGAATTTTGAAAATGTTTTTCTTCACCTAGATGTATCTACACACTTGTGGCCAATTGACTATGAATGTCAGTAGTATGTTTAATTTTGGAAAAGGTAAACTTGCTAGATTAAAGCCTCTTATAAAAGCTTTAAACCATACAACTGTGGACTTGTGACATGATTTAACAGTATTCATTGATCTTTCTTACAGTGATTTATTCCTTTATTTGTATAGTTGCTTTGTGAAATAATGTGTTGTGAATTGATATTGTAATCAATAAAGTGCTTTTAACCAGAGTTCACTATATGTTTTAAGTCAAATTTTAGGATTTAAAAAATTTAAGACCCAGAACTAAACTTCAAATCCAGCATTTCATACTCAGCCCTAAATTCTTTAACTAAACAATAGGAGAAACAATAGGATACCATATAGAGGTCAACAGAAGATTGAGAGGGAGAAGGAAAGAAAGAGGAGGAAATGTGGAACAAAAGTATACTCTGCATGTATAAACAGACCACAGTGAATGCTATCTTTATGTCTATCTAAAAAACAAAATAAAATTTTAAATAATTTTTTGAGAGAGAGAGAGAATTTTAATATTTTTTTTTAGTTTTTGGCGGACACAACATCTTTGTATGTGGTGCTGAGGATCAAATCTGGGCCGCACACATGCCAGGCGAGCGCACTACCGCTTGAGCCACATCCCCAGCCCTTAAAATAATTTTAATAGCATTTTTTTTTCCTCATGAAAAATGAATAGAGGCTGGAATTGTAGCTGAGTGGCAGAGCACTTGCCTAGTGCATGTGAGGCACTGGGTTCAAACTTCAGCACTACATAAAAATATTGTGTCCATCTACAACCAAAAAAAAAAAAGGGAAAAGTGTCCACCAGGTGTCATAGCCAACTTTAAAAAAATGAACAGGCTGCAGAAGCAAGGAAGAGTGCCGCTCACGTATCCTTTAGCATTGTAAACTTCTAGCTTATTGTTCAAAGGCCACAGATTATCATTAAAGAGCAAAAGTAATTGTTTCCCCTAGAACTCCTTCCATGATAATTTAATTCCATTTTGTATAATTTTTATATAACCAAGTCTACTTATAGTACTGATTAAAACATGTTTTTTACTTTCTTTTATCTCATCACAGCTTTAAGGGAAGATTACTGAGAAAATTGAGAATGTTAGTTCTATTTGTCCAGGGAATAATACTAAGTACCTGTAAATTGCACATCCCATATGGAAAAAACCCTCAAAATATGCCCCCAGTGGTGGTCTATGGCATCTTACTTACCTTTTCAATATCTGGCCAGGGGAACTAAACAGTAATGCAATCATAAGTGCCCGTCACTGCAAGATAATCTTGTATGTCTATCATGATTAAAAATGATTAAGAATGAAAGATTAACTCTCACTAAATACTAGTATAAATGCTACACTTATCAGCTATCTGGCAAACAGGTTTTATTTTCACCTTACAAGATTGCATACTCATAAAAATGTTTTGTAAGAAGTTTAAGATTATACAAAGTTTAATAAATAATCCTGCAAACACACAAATAATCAAGTATATGTGTAATAACTGAACTATACCAGTCATAATTACATAACTTAATTCACGGTCTTGTCATCAATGCACTTATATCTAAGCATAAGAGTTGTTTTCTTTATTTTAGTGTTTCATTTCCAAGTCATACATTTTCAAACTTGATTAGGTGAAACTACATTCAAACTAGTGATGGGAAAACTTACTATACCAGAACAATATACTAGCGGCTCCCAAACTTTATTGTAAACATCAGTATCACCTGGAGGGCTTGTTAAAATAATTGCTGGGTTACTAGAGTGATACAGCCATCAGTTTATACCATCACAATTCACAACAGGCAAGATAGGGAATCAGCCCAGGTGCTCTTCGATAGATGAAATGGTTAAAAGAAAATGAGGTATATATACACACAATGGAGTTTTACTCAGCCATGAAGAATAAAATTATGGCATTTGTCAGTAAATGGATGTAACTGAAGAACAACATGCTACATGAAATAAGCCAGACTGAAGAAAATCACATGTCTAATGTTTTCTTTCCTATATGGAAGCTATAGTAAAGTAAGGGAAAAGTGGGGGTAAGGGCTAGGATACCATAGAGAGCAGCTCAGCAGAGTAGGAGGCAATTGAGTGGGAGGAAGGACAACAAAGAGAAGGAAATGTGGAACAAAATTACACTGTTCATGTACAGACCACAGTGAACGCAACCTTATTTATATCTATAAAGCACCAATTAAAAGTAAATGAGTGAAAGGTAGCCCAGTAGAGTAAAGGAAGGTTAACAGGAGGAGGGAGGAAAAGTAGGGAAACCAAGGACTAAAATGGAGTAAATTCCATGCCTGAATGATGTCAAAATGAGCTCAGCTATTATGTACAACTATAATACAGTAACAGAGGAAAAAAATTGCTAGGGCCCCAAATGTAGTGTATCTGATTTTATAGTCTGGATTGAGACCTGAGAATCTATATTTATAATAAGCTCAGAAGTGATATTGATGATCCAGGGACCAAACTTTAAGAACCACTGTATTGTATTAATGAAGTAATACCAACAATTCAAGTACTTTCATATAACTTGTAATCTAAATTAGCAGTAAGTACCCGATCTTAGAAACCTAATTGTTATAGTTGTCACCTAATTCCACTTGGTTGCCTGTACCATTTCTGGGGTTATAAATCAGCAAAAAATGGTAAAAACTAATAGTCACTTGTATTTAAATTTGAATAATGCATCCTAATATCTGACTTGCATAACAAATGTTTTGGAAAGGCTTCTATGGCCTAAATTATGTTATTGTTTCCTTCAAATATCTTGAAAAATAGAGTTATGTGTTGTGAAAAGACCAACTAGTATTCAGGAGCCTTAAAAGGCACAGGAAAGAAGTATCGAGTATTAATGTAAGAAAAAAAAGCTGAAATGTTACCCTCCCACAAAAAAGAATCAAACCATACCTGGCCAAATGCACTATGTTCCCAGGGATTTGTATTTTAACAAGCGTCTAGGTGATGCTGATCTTTATTTTTTACAGCAAGATCCCAGAATGATGTCATTTAAAAATATTCCCATATAAGTTTCAATCAGTTTTTCATACAGAAGCAGATATAATACTTGAATCCATGAACATTTCATTAAGGTAAAAAAATTACAGTATTAATTTTTAATGGAGCCATAGCAAATTCATATCTTAAATACAAGTAAAAGCTTCCAGTGGGGGATAATCCAGCAGTTACCTTAGGCAAGTGCCTTCTGAAGAATAGCTTTTAAACATTACTGTTATCAGCCAAAATGCAGACCTCCTATATCTTTGGCTATTTTCATCACATCAAACTCTATTCCTCCAACTAAGATAGAAAAGCTTTCCTTACTGGACTCCTAACTGGAGCAAAGTTGAAAATATTTCTTAGAAAACATAAAGAAACTATTTAGACTCAGATACTTTTATAAGTGACTATAATAACAAATTTATAACATCAGTTTTAATGGGAATAAAAGAAGGGGTAAAAACAGCATATTTATTAGTGGTTTACATACTTGCCATGATGGCAAGAATGATTGTAACCTGCATAAATAGGACACTCAAGAACATTCCACACTCCTTGGAGGTTAGAGCAATGGAGCTTATAAAACAAAACAAAACAAAAAGTTGACTATTCCCATTAAAGAAGGCATCAAAAAATTAGTTTTGAGAAAGAAGATGAAAGGATCACTCTCTAACTCCTGGATACCAGGAAGCAGAGTTTTTCAGAATCAAAAACAAAGAAAGCCCCAATTAAAGAGCTCAAGGACCCACCCCTCAGGGGTCACAAAGTTGATTCTGTTGTTTTTAACTAATTCATTATTTAACACAAAAAACTTAGTCTTTATCCCAAATTAAAACAAAGAACATATCCTAACACTTTTCTGAAATGCAAACACCCTGGGATAGATCATTACCAGAATCTACACAGGGATTTGCCACTTAGTTATAGTATAATTCATATTGAAGTCATTTCATAAAAATAACAACTCTCCCAATCTTCCAGGTTCCATTTCCTCCCATGACGTTCACCAAAGCAACCTCTATTGTTTAAGATTCCTCATTGCTTGAATGTAGAAATTGCTTAGTAAAATTCTCCAACTCATTTTCAAGCTGAACAGCTTTATTTCTAGTTAAAAAAAAAAACAAAAAAAAAAAACACTTTAATTATCATAAAGGTCAATGAGAAAAATGCCTCATTCTAGCCAATCTTAAAAAGAAAAACTTGCTAATCAGCTATTATTAGGTTCCTTGGAACTCCTTGACTGTTACCCACCCTTTTCAGAATATTCATTGTTATATGCCACTGAAACTTCACAATGAATGCAGAATTCAATGTCTAGGACCTAAAAACAGCTTTACTGAGATAAAAGAGAAAAACTTATAAAGAAAGAGATTTGGAATATAAGAAGACAGTGGAGTTATATCATCTTACATAGGAATTACATCTTAAGTCACATACAGTTATGACTGTCTTTGAAATCTCCTTGTAAGTAAGGCACAAAATACTGAATAAGTCATTCTATGTACATGCAGAGAAGCTGGTATATGTTCCTGGGCCGTGATAGACCAAAAATATTTTCTCAACACTAGTATCACACTTGATGCAATAAAATCGCCTATAGTAATAGAGGAAAACTGTAACTAAAACTATCAGAGAAATAGACTTATACCTCCCATTCACAAGCTATGCCAGAGCACGAATTCACTGGGTGGGTGCCTGCTTATTCTCTACTTTAGAGAGGAAGGGGGTCTTGTTTTGTTTCTGCCCACCATGACTGAGATCACACTGAGTAAATGTAAATACGCCATAAACGCCATTGAATATACTTCTTCAGGCCACTGTGCTGAAGCATTAGGCAAGTTAAATTAAATTCTACCTAAATGGTTGAGCCTCATCTATTAACAATGGAGACTCTGCATAGAAGCATGCCTTGCATAACTGGGATACTCTCTAAGAAGTACATCATTTATCAATACTTGATTTTTTTGTGTGTGAACATCAGAGCTTATTTATACAACCCCAGATTGGGCAATGGCCTACCACACATTTAGGCTATAGGGCATGGCCTACTGCAGCTTCTAGGCTAAAAATCTGTACTGAATACAGTAGACAATTATAACATAAGGATTAATATTTGTATAAACAAACACATGAGTAATGTGTTATATATTATGACCTTAGGATGGCTATGATATCAGGGATAGAAATTTTCAGTTGCATTATGAAATCATGGGACTACCACTACATATGTACATTGTCATTGACTAAAACATTATTATGTGGTCTATGACAAATATATGTTCCCACAATTCTGGTTACAAAGAGAGTTCCTGCAATTTGTAAATAGGGGCTACTAAGCTACTCTAAGCATAGGCAACTGTATGTTCCCTGGAAGTAGTGATAGCATTTTTAGATGGTGCTTAACAATTTTCCCAGACACGCTGGCAGGTTAGCTAATAAATAAGAAAGCTAAAAGTACAAACTTCTAAGTATAAACCCGACAGTGACACTTCCAGTCTTGCCCCAAAAGGAAGTTATATTAGATCTCAAACAATCCATAATTAAAACATCAAACCAGAAACATACATTTTATCAGAAAACTAGTTTATTTTTGTTGCTTCAGATTTAAATATACCCAATAATCCCCAATGAGAACAGAATTTATGGTCTTGACCATAATGGACTAAAAATTCACTTTAAATTACAGAACTTCTGTTCTAAAAGGGGACTAATTTGGCCTAACACAGAGTAAATTTGGATCTATAAAATTCCTTTTAATTCAGATATTCTCTCTTGTTGAAAAAAACTTATATTGAAATTACTAAACATGAAATTAAATATAGAAGATCTTAATTTAAACACAGAAAGTTCAAAATTTTATAAATCATTCATGATTTTATATAATTACATTTTGGTAATGAGACCACTAAATATTCACATTTTTGAGAATAAAAGTTTAAATACCTTAAGAACTTCGAATTGTTTTGTATTTTCTCCAACTGATCTATTTCTTTGGTTAATCTAGCAATTTCTTCTTCCAGATGTCTTTGTGTAATATCAACTTGTTGGCACAGGCGAGCAAAAGTCGTAGCCATTTCTCTTAAAATTAAAAAATAAATTAGTAACCATGAACATCTTCTAAAATGAGGGAGCTTCAATGTAAAGTTTTCATAATCAGAAGAAAAGTTATAAAACAACATCTAAATCATTAAGAATCAAGAATGCAAAGAGAGAGCCTATAGAATGGGAGAAAATCTTTGCCACCTACACCTCAAAGCATTAACCTCTAGGATATATAAAGAATTCAAAAAACTTAACACCAAAACCACAAATAACCCAATCAATAAATGGGCAAAGGAAGTGAACGCACACTTCACAGAAGAAATACAAATGATTAACAAATATATGAAAAAATGTTCAACATCACTACTAATTAGAGAAGTGCAAATTAAAATTACACTGAGGTTGTGGCTAAGTGGTAGAGCACTTGCCTAGCACGTGTGGGGCCATGGGTTAAACCCTCAGCATCACATAAAAATAAACAAACAAAATAAAGGTATTAAAAAAAAAAACTACACTGAGATTTCAACTCACTCCAATCAGAATGGCAATTATCAACAATACAAGCAATAATAAGTATTAGAGAGGATGTGGGGGAAAAGGTACACTCATATATTGCTGGTGGGACTGCAAATTGGTGCAATCACTATGGAAAGCAGTATGGAAATTCCTCAGGAAACTTGGAATAGAACCACCATTTGACCCAGCTATCTCATTCTTTGGTTATACCCAAAGGACTTAAAATTAGCATTCTACAGTGACATAGCCACACCAATGTTTATAGTAGCTCAATTCACAATAGCTAAACTATGGAACAAAGACTAGGTGCCCTTCAATAGATGAATAAAGAAAATGTGGCACATATACACAATGGACTATTACTCAGCCATAAAGAATAAAATTATGGCATTTGCCAATAAATGGATGGAACTGGAGAATATCATGCCAAATAAAATAAGCCAATCCCAAAAAACCAAAGGCCTTATACTCTCTGATACGCAAATGCTAACACACAATAAGGGGGCGGGGAGAATAGAAGTTTACTGAACTAGACAAAAGGGAATAAAGGGAAGGGAGGGGAATGGGAATAGGAAAGACAGTAGAATGTATCGGACATAACTTTCCTATGTTAATATATGAACACATGACCAGTGTAACTCCACATCATGTACAACCACAAAAATGGGAAGTTATACTCCATGTATTTATATAAAAATACACTCCACTTTGATGTATATCTAAAAAAATCTACTTTTATGTATATCTAAAAAAAAATTTAAAAAAAGAATCAAAGAATACTGCGCTACAAATGATATGAGGGAAGATATGGCACCTGTAAACTTACTATAACTGTAAGCTTAATTTTATCTGGCCTCTAGACAAATAAATGCTCAAAGACATAATATTACCTCTGCTATATGGCTGTGAATTCAAATGAGCTATCAACAGGCAAAAGAAGGCTGTACTTCTTCAGAAGCACAATAAACCTATTCTCTTGCCCAGTTAAAAAAAAAAATTGAGACTGAGAAAGAAAAAATTTCTATGAACTATTACGAAGTTAAGTGAAAATACTGTAAATCATATTTTAAACTTAATCATGCTTCCAAAACTAAAGGGTTAAATCTAATTTGAATGCTGGTTAATACATTAGCTTTAGTAAACACAGTGTTTATATTTTTCCAATCAGGAGTATTTCTGATGTGTGTGCACCTACAGAACACAGTTAACTAACTTACTCATTTTTCTGTGCAACTATTCTCCTGTGCATCTTCATCCTTTCCCTGGTCTTTTTTATCCCCATTTTCTCCACTCCACCAATTCCCAGTATCAGACAAATAGAGCATGTTTCATTCTTTTACTACTATAAATATTAATATTCACCTAGTATATTTTAACTAATTATTTGAGATTGCCTCCATTGTAATGTAAAGTCTTCTAAAAAAGAAAGATCAAGTTATCCTCAGCTTTATTATCCATAACTGCATAATTATCAAAATGGTAGGAAATAAATCAATGCCTGATAATTCAAAAAAAAAAAAAGCAAGGCATGGTGGCACATGCCTGTAATACCAGCTACCCAGCTTTGAAAGTTCAAAGCTAGCCTTTGTATTACAAAAAAAGGCTTGAGATGTAGCTCCATGGGTTTAATATTCAGTAATAAGAAAAAAAAATGAGAATAGAAAGCTACATTAACATTATTTTTATGAATAAAATTTCCTTTTTAGGTCCAGGTATCTTCATTAGAGAAAAGATCTTCTAATAAAAATAAATTAAAATTAAAGCTATCATATAAAATAAGACCTCAAAAAAATATTTGATGAATGAATGGATGGATGAACAAGTTCCTTGAACTATGCGGTCTCCATGTTCTATTTTCTACAGCTTTAATTATGTTAAGACTTTAATTTTATGTCTGAAACAGATATAACTTTGTTGTAATTCTTGTTTCCATAGTCTAAACCATTTCATATACCATATCATATCACTGCAAAATTATTTGTTGTAGAGCTAAGTTATCAGTATCACTCCCAGGATTCTTTTTTTTTTTTTTTTTTAAGTTGTTAATGGATCTTTTTAAATTTTTTAAATTTATATTGTGGTGCTGAGGATTGATCTCAGGGCTTTACACATGCCAGGCAAGCGCTCTAGCACTGAGCCACAACTCCAGCCCACTCCCAGGATTCTTAATTATCCAAATCCCAAGCCCTGTACTAGCAGGGCCCTGTCCTAGGGTTGTTACCTTCACCTGTATCTTCCTTATACATCTGCCACACTGACATTTTCTTTTCATGTTCCTGATAACATCCCTTTCCTCTATTTTTTTTATATATATTTTTAGTTGTAGATGAAACTTTATTTATTTATTTATTTTTATATGGTGCTGAGGATTGAACCAGTACCTCACATGTAAGGGGCAAGTGTTCTGCCACTGAGCTACATCCCAGCCCCTTTTTCTCTCTTTTTACTTCTGACTTGCATTATTTTCTGTCTGATCTTACTTTTGTGAATGTTCAAATCTCATTTGCTATCAATCCTTTAGTAAAGATACTGATCCACTATCTTTCATGCTTTAAGTAAATGCTTGAGCCCCACATTTCAAGAATGCGTTTTCTTTCTCACACTACCTATCACTTTCACTTGTATTATAATTATGTGCATGTTCTCTTTCATTAAACTGCAACTATATTGAGCTTTTAATTTTGCTCTCAATTACATCCAAATACATAATATTGTGCCTTGACCTAAGGGGAGTTCCATATACTTTAAATCAATGAAATAAATATTCAAGATGTAGAAAAACAGAAACTGGATAGACCTAGATATTTGTTTATTATGTTGTAATAAAATTTTCTTGAGATCTAAAAAATAATACATTTAGACTAACAAGTTTGAATTATAAGAATAAACACAATATTATGTCTATTATAAAATCAGGAATCTGCTCATCATTAAGCCCACTTGTTAAATGCTAATAATTCATTCAGTTTTCATAATTAAGAAACCACAAATATTTGAAGCACAGGAATATAAATTCAGAATAAATCTGCTAAAGAACTATCTTTTGAAAGCCCAGCAGAGTTCTTGGGATTTCCTATATACCAATTTCCAAATGTTCAAATCTAATCTATCAGAAGAATGGTGAGAATAGTGATTGGAAGGGGAATGGGCAGAAGTGAGGTTTAGTATCATTCTATCTTTCCACCTTGTTGGTGATTTCAAGATGTTCATTCTTTGCATATATGTCATATTTCAAAGAATGTTTTTTAAAAAAGAAAGATGCATTAAAGACACAAGTGGTGTGAATATACTTTATATACAACCAGAAATAAGAAAAATTGTGCTCTATATGTGTAATGTGAATTGTAATGCATTCTGCTGTCATATATAACAAACTAGAATAAAAAATAAATTAATTAAAAAAAAAAAAGAAAGATGCATATTTCCACTTACTGTTGTACTTGGTGGCTACAGTTTGCACTTGTGAAACTAACAATCATCTGCAGTTTTTCAGTTGCATAGTTCACAAACTGCTGTTTAAAGGCTCTCTCCTTGGCATGTGTAGTCCAGGTTAGCCTTTCATAAAGATACAAAGCTCCATACATACTCAATGAAACAGATATGAGTTTCCAGCCTACAGTTTTCCATATCTGTAAGATAAAGTTACAGCTTACTCTAAAAATAAAAAATGCCAGTTGGGAGAAAATATTAAAATGCCTGTGGGGTCCCTAAAGATCCCTGAATTGTACCTAGTTTCTAAAAATGCATATTCCTTTTCTATAAGAAAATCTGAAGTTACCAAAAGACAATCAGGTGGAAAAGGGATCAACACATATATATCAGGAAGAGCATTCAAAACCTGTAATATTTTAAGTTGATGCACTAAAAAATTATATAAATTTTTAAATTTAGGTCAGAGATTTAAAAACCAAAACAACCACATATATGTCTGTTAATGATATATATAAATTTTTAACATGTAAGAACTACTACTATAATAATGTTTAATACTTTAAAACAAGATTCCCTTGGTATTCAGAGGAGACTAAACAAAGCACCTGATCTTCCCTTTTTTCTTTTTTTGTTCTCCACTGATCTACAATCTTTTATTGTTACCTCATCACACAAATATCATTTTTTTGTCTGCTGTGGTATGAAAGTAATAAAGAAGCATTGTTTTAAAACATCGGACATGGTGGGAATGTATGCAACTCAGTAGTAGAGCACCCGGTTAGTACGTGTGTAAGGTCCAGGGGTTAATCCCCACCAATGTCAGATAAACAGACAGACAGAGAGACAGACAAGTAGATGGAGCTGCCCAGATGATAACAGTTCTTTCCTAAGCATTTATGTATTTTTAAAATTTAAGATTAGACTTGTGAAACTCTTCATTTATTACTTTTAGCCTATTTATTTTCTTATTGCTTTATGGACCTGAAAATACAAAAAATCTTTCTTTTCATGATCTAATAGGCAACTTTGCAACGAATTCAATTTTAATTATACTAAAAATAACATTTCTTACCACTCCTCCAACAACTATGATGCCCATAGAAGTTCTAGATGTAAGAGAAGCTAATCCTGTTATTAAGGTAACCATGAGTTCTTCCTGTGATGCATTATCTGGTGTTGCTGGATTGGTGGGAGCAGTGGGAGTTGAAGCTAATGATCTAGGAAGCTGATAAATTTAGGAGGAAAAAAGAGATTATTATAGTTAAAGAAGTAAGTATAAATGAAATAGTCACATTTATAAGATTTTAAAATTTATTTTAAAATCATAGTAGCGAAACAATTTTAAAAAATGACCCCAAATAATGAGTATACTATAAACATGAAAAAAAAATTAAAACTGACTAAAAATTATTTTCTATAACATGGACCAAATGATATAGTAAACAACAATAAATTTTCATAATATACAATGGAGTCTACCTATAACAATAATTCTCAATAGAAATTAAAACCTTTTTGCAAAAAAAGGGCTGGAATGTAACTCAGTAGGATAGAGCATGTTCACAGTATGCACACAGCCCCAGGTCAATTCCTAGAACCAAAAAAACCCCCCAAATCTCTCACATCATAAAACAATCCTCAAAAAAGAAAAAAAAAAAAAAAAAAAGTTGGACTTCAAAACAAAATAAACCAAAGAAAATTAAAAGACAAACCAGAGACTGGAAAAATACATTTGGAAATTACGTATGTGATTAAAGCACTTTTTATCCAAAATATATAAAGAATTCCTAAAACTCAATACAAATCAATACAATTAAAAAATGAATAAAAGCTGGGCATGTGGTGCTTGCCTGTAATCCCAGTGACTCAGGAGGCTGAGGCAAGAAGATCCCAAGTTCAAAGTCAGCCTCAGCAACTTAGCTAGACCCTGTCTCAAAATAAACAATAAAAAGTGTTGGGGATGTAGCTCAGTAGTTAAGCACTTCAAGGTCTAATCCCCAGTATATACCAAAAAAAAAAGGGGGGTGGAGATGCTGGGGTCATGGCTCAGTGGTAGAGCACTTGCCTGGCATGTGAGAGGCATAGGGCTCAATTCTCAGCACCACATATAAATAAAGATCCATTGACAACTAAAAAAAAAAAAAAATTTAAAAAAGAATAAAAGATTTGAATAGACATGTCACAAAAGAAGGTATATGAATAGTTTATAAGTTAATCATTAAAGGAAATACAAATCAAAAGCATTATGAGGTACCACTTCACATCCACCAGAATTAAAAAAGACAAGACAATAACAAGTGTTGACAAATATTCTGAGAAACTAGAACCATCATACACTGCTGGTGGGAATGGTGGAACCATTTTGGAAAGCCGTGTGGCAATTCCTCAGAAAGTCAAACACAAATTTGCATGGTGGTCCAGCAATTTTACACCTAGATATATACTCAAGAAAGGTGAAAACACATGTCCACCTAAAAACAGATACATGCTTGTTCATAGCAGCATTTTTCCTAATGGGCCTAAAGCACTACCTATCCTGATGTTCAACTGATGAATGGATAAATGTTTTATCTAAAACAGAATATAACTTGGCCGTTTGAAGGAATGAAATAGTGATACATACTATAACAATATAATAATGAAAAACCTTGAAAATATTATACTAAATGAAATAAACCAGTCATACGAGGCCATGTGTTACATGATTCCATTCACAGGAAATACCCAGACAGGGCAAATCCGTATCCCTTGATATATAATTAGGTGATTAATGGTAGGGCTAGAGATAGGAATAATGACTGAATTTTGTTTCAAGCTACATCCCCCTCCAAGTGTATATAAATGTGTGTGTGTGTGTGTGTGTATATATATTATAGTTAAAAAATTATTCTGAAGGCAGGATGTGTTGGTGCATGCCTATAATCCCAGCAACTTGGGAGGTTCAGGAAGGAAAGATCTCAAGTTCAAGGCTATCCTAAACAACTCAGTGAGACCCTATCTCCAAATAAAAAATAAAAAATATTGGGGACATAATTCGGTGGCAGATTGCCCCTGAGTTCAAACTCTAGAACCAAAAAAAAATTGTTTAAGGCATTTTCCTCACTTTATTTTGTCCCCCCCGCCTTTTTTTTAAAGAATTTTAATACTTATTTTTTAGTTTTTGGCGGACACAACATCTTTGTTTGTATGTGATGCTGAGGATCAAAGCCGGGCCGCACGCATGCCAGGCTACCGCTTGAGCCACATCCCAGCCCTATTTTGTCCTCTTAGTAGTTAGCAGTTTGCTATTTCAGTGTTTTGTTGGCTGAACAAACTGATAAATCTCTTGTGCACTGGTATTAAATGTAAATTGTATTGTATATAAAACCATACAGAGGAGTTGGGGTATGGCTTGAGGTAGGAATGATGACTGACTAATTGGCATATGGGATCCTTTTGGGATGACAGAAATGTTCTAAAATGGGATAACAGTGATGGTTTTACAGTTTCATAAATTTTCTTAAAAATTATTAAAACTATTAAATTTGTAAGTTTTTCTTTTGAAGTGTTTGCATTTATTCCAATTCATGTGAAGTCTGAAAACGAAATCTTTTTAAAAAAATCCTTTAAAAGTTTCAAAAGTAAACATAGAACTATCTATAATAGAGTACTAGGTAGGGGCTGGGGTTGTGGTTCAGTGGTATGAGGCCCTGGGTTCAATCCTCAGCACAATGAATAGATAGATAGATGGATGTCCATTGACAACAACAATATATATATATATATAAAAGAGTACTGGGTAAACACTTTGGAATTGGCTTTCCCTTATAATGCATACTCAAATGGCTGTTAGAGATAGATATTAGCTTATAAACATGCAGATTTGCAGAAGATAGTTTGAGTAGAGAAAATTGCACAAGTAAAATAAGAAAAGGGAGTCTCAATTGGTAAAATCAAAGATACATACCTGAAAGATAGGCTCTGATAATCCAAGCAATACCCTCTGAGCATTTGTGGGGCCCAAGAATCGATGAACAAGGGAAGACCAGCCCAAGGAAAAACGAAATACAATATCCTCTTGAAAATCTGAACATAACTTGTGGCAATTTAGGTCATAACTGAGGTCAAATTTCTTGCAAGGGATCAATGTATGAAGTTTATTCTGTATACCAGCTGGAAGTAATGGCTTCAAATTTTCTGGAAAGAAGAAAATTTTATTACATTTATTTTAAGAAACAGTAATGTTTGACCTTCAAAGAATATACAAAGGAAAACAAACCGTTTACCAAGAAAGAAAGAAAACAAAACCACACATGATATTGTAGATATAAATATTACCAATAATTTCTTGCTGGGATTGAAGCATTGAGGCATTGACTTCACTGGTGCACCGATCTGCCAAATTTCTTCCCATACCATCTTCTATGTGCTTATTTAACTCCTGTTAACAATGGTAGATGTTCATGTTATTTTTTTCTCCAGAAAGTATATAGATTTTATAAAGACTTAAATGTTTGAGGATAAATTCTGTGGGTTTTTTATTTGATGCTGGGGATGGAACCCAGGACTTCACACTTGCTAAGTATATGCTCTACAACTGACCTACATCCCAGTCCAGCCCCTCGTTACAGTTTTTTAAAAACACATTTAAATTTTTTTTTTTAATATTAAACAACTTTTAAGATTTTTTTTTCAATTTTTTATGTGGTGCTGGAGGTCGAACTCAAGGCCTCATGCATGTCAGGCAAGCACTCCACTACTGAGCTACAGCCCCAGCCCCACTCAGTACAGTTTTCTGTGCAAAATAGTTTACATTCATTACCAGTGCACATGCGTTATAATAGCTTGTATAGTAACTGCCAAGAAGATATTGAAATGGCCAAACCAATAAAATAAATGAATACAAAAGATGATGATGAAAGCATCTCATAACAACTTTTTAATTACACTTTAACTCACATTTTTATATACTTTCAATACACTTGGAGTTGGATGAAACTCAGAACAAAACTCATCAACCAAAACAGACAGTCGACAAATTTCATCTGTCATTGCACACGAAACCTGAGAATATTAAAAAATTAGAGTTAAAAAATTAAAACGAGATTACCAACTACTCAAAAAAATGAGAAAAAGTATCATACTGTTTTTAAGGTAAGGGTTAACATTTTTACCAAAAAATATGTCCAAGGAAAAACGAAATACAATATCCTCTTGAAAATCTGAACATAACTTGTGGCAATTTAGGTCATAACTGAGGTCAAATTTCTTGCAAGGGATCAATGCATGAAGTTTACTCTGCATACCAGCTTTAATCGTAACATTTTTGTTACCTTGTTCGCTACCTCCTCAGTGACCTCCTTGATTTTTTTCTTAACATCCAAAGTTAAAAGGTTCATCTGGTTTCGAATAAAGTCCAGTCTGTCAATTTGGTCTTCCCTCTCTTCCATTGAATAAACCCTATTATATTATGAAGAGCAATTAACATTCAAGACACACTAGAGTCCCAAAGCAATTAAGCAACGATACTCAAGCATGACCCAAGGAAAAAAGAAATCATGTGCTTCAACACATCAACTAACATTCATTCATGAAATATTTTATAATGATGGATTTGCTATAAACTACACTGTCTCTCTGCCCATGTGAAACTAACTCCTACAAAGGATTGATAAAGACTCTACAAAGCCACTAAACACTTCACAGATATGAACAGTCAAAATAGAACTCAACTGTGATTTTAATAAACAAGTGTCAGCAAACAGTACCCTCGCAAGACAAATCCAGTCATGTGCCAGTTTCATGTTGAAGTTTTCTTAGAATACCAGTACATTCACTCAGTTGCCTATTTTATATATATATACAGCTTTTACTCTAAAACTGCAAAACTGAGCAGCTGCAAGATAGATAGTAGAGCTCAGAAAGCTTACAATATTTTACTATCTGGCCTTTCATAGGAAATTTCGTAGAAGTTTGTTTATCCCTCCATGGCACAAAGACCAAAGGCATGAGACCCTTTTAAGATCTTTGCTAAAGGGTTGCCAAGAGTTAATATTACACAAAGTATCCTCAAATCACATCTTTATGCTATATTTGGTTCGATGTCTCATAGTTTTAAAAAATAAATAATAAGGTCAATCTGGCAACCAAATTTTGGGTACTATAATAAAGCATTTGAGTTGGAAGGGGCTTCTATAACAACACAATCTCATTATAAAAAGGCTACATAGAGGTACAGCACCAGGAATGAGATCAGACTCGGGGTTCACAGCCTTGTGTTCTATACACTGGGCACTTTCTCCTTTTGACACATGTATTCCTGAAAAAAGTACTAAAACCAAACAATAGACTTAGATAGGATATGGGGGCAGGGGGTTTCCAGAAAGAATAAAATTTCAATTTTTTACCTCCTCTTGGATTTTAATCTTTGATGCTTTGTTATGTTTCCTTGAGCTGGCTTAAGCCCACTAAAAGTACAATTGAGGCTTAACATCATTACTTCTGAAAACATATCTAATAACATCCTAATCTTTGCTTCAAGTATACCAAGTTAGTGAGAATTATACTTTTCAACAATACAGTTAGTACTTAAAGGTTTACATTTTCAACTTTAAACAAGAATGAATCATGGGTTGAATGCAAAAAGAGGATCACCTGATTTGGAATCCTTCAGAAAATTCTGCTTGAAGAATTTGTTCTTCCACTGCTTTAAAGATATTTTAAAACCACTAAACATTCTAAAATCGCAATTCACACACATAAATGTAGTGATCCAGGAAATATAAACAATGTGTTCAAACAGGTCACAGAATTAATCAATATTCATATTTTCAAACATTTAAAAAGCACACAAGTAGCCAGGTGTGATGGTGCATGCCTATAATCCCAGCAACTCAGTAAGGTGAGGCAGGAGGATGACAAGTTCAAGGCCAGTTTCAGCAACTTAGGAAAGCTGTAAGCAACTCAGGGAGACCCTGTCTCAAAAAATAAAAAGGACTAGGGACATAGCTCAGTAGTCAAGTGACCCCTGGCTTCAATTCTCAGCATCAAAAAAAAAAAAAAAAGATATACACAAGTAGGTATCAGTAAAATTCACAAGACTTGATTTTAGTGCACAAAACTATAGTACAATTTTACAATTTAAAAACTTAGTCTTAACAAAAGTCTGATATAGAAAAACTAACATTTTTATGTTGCAATAAAATGAACTCATACCTTTTCTCTGCTGCTGCCACGTTTACTGAATCCATTATGTTTTTCACAGTATCTAGTATCTGTTTAGCTCTGATAGTGTGCTGTTCAAACTTTGTTTTCACTGCTGACTTCGAGATACACTCCTGCGAGGGGCCCAAGCCATAACACATTACTGTAATTCCATCACAACATTTTCAGGAATTTAAACACAAAAACTTGCTGATTGTAACTTAAACCAAAACAGAAACAAGGGTAGAAATAAAACAAAAAAAACAAACACACGATAAACACAACTTAAAATTACAAAGGTTAAAAAAATTAAAAGCTTCAAAAGTAAAAAGAATTTTAACAGCAAGTTCTTATCTTTGTGTATTTTTACACAGTAATGTGGCATGGTTTGACTAACATTTTAAAAATAAATGGTACTATATTTTCAATGTTAAAAAAGGTTTCCCCATCAGAATTACCTATTTGGATCATATTATACAATTCTAATCCATCTCTCTTATTTTTCTCATACTTATATAACCTATAAAGTTCTTAAATGAGTTTTGAATTAGAATACTAATTTAAAAAATTGGTTGATATGAGGGCTGGGGATATAGCTCAGTTGGAAGAGTGCCTGCTTTGCATGCACAGGGCCCTGGGTTTAATCCCCAATACCATTAAAAAAAAAAAATTAGTTGAGTAATATGGTGATTCAAAAAGCTACCAAAAAGGACTTCTACAGAGTAAAATGTCAACAATTTGAAAAATAATATTTAACAACCTAGGTAATATTTTAAGTTATTTACAGAAAAATATCTATAGCTACTTCAAAGACTATTATCACTAGACGACAGTGTGGTGCACACTGGTCTGAATGATGCCCTACACCTTACTTGTTTCACCTTCAAGCTAACTGCAGCTCATAAACCATCAATAGCTGTACAAATTAACTAGTGTTTTATAAATAAAGTACATCAGAATGCATCACATTTAGTAATGGACACAATTATTTGTGAAATTTTTGCTTGAATTTTCAATATATGCAATATTACTGATCTAAATTTATTTTTACTGTGATTCATCAAGTTTATCAAACTATAATATTACAACTGAACTCATTTTTTTTACTTCATAGAAAGTCAAATTCTATAGTGACAACATTTGAAAACTATAGGGGTTTACGTAGAAAAGACATTCAGTCTGAACAATTTAAGAAATGCTAGCCTGAGCCACATCAGTACCTACAACAATACTTCACAGGAGACATGTTTATCTTCTATGACAATTTTTTTTTTTTTGGAGGGGAGAATGCCAGGGATTGAACTCAGAGGCACTCCACCACTGAGCCATAACCCCAGCCCTATTTTGTATTTTATTTAGAGACAGGGTCTCACTGAGTTGCTTAGTGCCTCACCATTGCTGAAGCTAGTTCTGAACTTGTGATCCTCCTTCCTCAGCCCCCCGAGGTGCTGGGATTACAGGTGTTTGCCACTGCACCCAGCAATGATTTTTTTAGAATTATGGTTATATTACAATTCCCTAAGATGGATACTTCTGTAAAAGTATTATATTTAGTTGTTTATATATTTAGCTAGTACAAATTGTTAATTACATCCTGAAGCTCATTATTGTCCCTCCTTTGTAAAAATAAATAGCTTTCAAGGTTTAAAAGGTATTCACTTGGCACTGAAGTATTATGTTTATTATTCTGAAATGAATATGTTACATGCTCATTAAATGTACTACTTGGCCAGGCCGGGTGGTGCATGCCTATAATCCCAACAGCTTGGGAGGCTGATACAAGAGGAACACAAGTTCAAAGCCAGCTTCAGCAATGGCAAGGAGCTAATGAACCCACTGCCTCTAAATAAAAAATACAAAATAGGGCTGGGGATGTGGCTCAGTAGTGGAGTGCCCCTGAGCTCAACCCCAGTACCCACCCTCAAAAAAACAAAAAATAAAAAAATAAATGTACTACTTATAACTTAGACTCAGCCCTGTCTCTAAAACTATGTATGCATTTCATTCAAATAGAAAGCCTTTAATCTTTCTCCCCTCTCCAGTATTTTGAGGTATAAAAAACAGAACAATTCACTTCTTTAGGGATAGGGCACGTGAAGAAAATTCATTTATAAAGACAACTCAGCCCATTCATTTCTTGATTGGTCTACCTTCACTTTTGCCCACGGCGAAGCTCATTTACACATCATTCATTTTCACTAATCTTCAAAATATTAGTGGTATGCATTTTAAGTATCCTATCCCATATATATCTAAAACAAAGGTTAAACATTCCAGAATGTTTCCTTCTATAAAACCACCAATAATTACCTAATAGTAAATGTCTGAATTGTAAAATACTTATTTTTTAATAACCAAAACACAACTTGAATTTTATTTTAAATAGCTGTCTCATAAATGTGCCAAACTAAGCTCCACAAAATTATAATAACATAAAAATAATTTTAAAAGAAAAAGGTTAAAATAAAATTTATGTTCCTCGATGAAGTAAATCTAGATATCAGCAATGAAGATCCAAATTCGTAGATAACAGCACAATGTTAGAGCTAGACTAGACAGAAATGAAAAGATCTTGAAAAGTTATTTGGTAAATATGTTATTTTTTGATTCAAAAACACAATAATGAATAAATATAAAAAAGAAAAACAATCTTTTTCTAATTAAAAAGTATCCTAAACTGCTATTCCCATTTATCTGCAGGATATTAAAAGGCAGACTAATATGCTAATGAATCTCCATGGGAAAATATACAGCTTATAGAGTTCCTAGATTTATTAGAAACTCTAATTTCCAGAAAGTTAAAAATACTATTATAAACCAATTTAAATTCCCTCATGTCAGAATATCCTATAGGCTCCTTTAAAAACTTAATGATTGAGATTCAAAATAGTAATCATGCCAATTAAGTTAATTTTCTGATGTCCTAATAACATAAAAGTTGATGATCATATACTATTATATGTATAGTTTGTTATTAATATGTAACTAAAACAACAAAAATAAACTGCTTTTTTCTTCTAATGAACTGTTTTTTTTCTTCTAAAAACAGGAGCACCTGCATAGCATGCTCAAGCCCCAGATTCAATCCCCAGCACTGCAAAATATATAAATACACACACACACACACAGAAAGAGAGAGAGAGAGAATAAGAAACTAGTTCCCAAATCTACCTGATTACTGCAATCACTTGGGGAACTTTGACTATACATAGATTCCTAGGCAAATTCCAGCCCAACTAGATCAAAATTTCTGGGAGCCTCAGGTGCCTGCAGTTCTCCAAAGTAACTCATGTGATTTTAATAATCAGCTAGTTTGGGAACCAATGCTCTATAACACACATCTTTTATTCCTCTCCTTCCTGCCCCTTCAAGATATTCTGGGAAAGCAAAAGGTGTACCATGAACCAATATGAAAGATATGTAAATGGACAAAATAGTATGATTTGGTAGAAGAAAGAATTATAAACATTCACTATATATATATATATATTTTTTTTTTTTCCCTTGTCAATAAATACAGACAAGGAAACAGAACAATACATGCTTCTCAACACATTTTCCACATGGATGAAGTAAGTGGAAGGCATGAGGAAAGTATCAATTCTCTTGTGGAAAAAAAAAGAAAGAAAATAAACAAACAATATTCTACAAGTAACTGGGAATCCATGTATATCCTACGGCTTGGCTTGAGAGGACATCTACTGATATTGCAGGAACCTCTGAAAAAGTAGAGTTTTTACTAAGGTAGCATATAGTGAGTTTTCTTTCTTAAACACTTTGTCTTCATATGTCTAAAGGTCTTTCCTCCTCTTATCAATTTAAAGATAAGGAAAAAATAAGCAAATTTTTAAAATTTTAAAAATTCTGCCAAGCACATTCAATTTTCAAGTCTGTCCTACTAAGGCAATTACCACTTAGAAAGAGGAATAATTACAGATGCCAGATTTCTAATTCTAAAGTCTTTGTGTTCATTCATAAGTGAGAAGTTGATATGGAATCTATGCAGTACTATATTAAATAGGGCTATGGAAGGTTTTAGAAGATTAATCTTAAGAACTTTTTAGTCAAATGTAGGATTTTTAATGTCTCTGAATACTCAAGTGCCTACACTATAAGAGATTAATTATCTTCTCTCCCCAATACTATACACACATCAGTCACTCACACACTTTGGTAGTTTCCCACCAGATTCCTAGTGTTGGAGCTGTATCTTAATTATTTTCTATTAACTCACTTGTTCAGAACATTTGATACAAAATGAGAATGAATAGGTTGCAATACACTTTAGAAATGTTGTAAAAGTTTATCAAATGACATTAAACATGTCCTATATATCTCCATGAATAGTATGGTATCAAAAAAAAAAAAAAAGAGAGAGAGGATGATTTTCACTTTGCTCTCTACTCCTTCCAACAGCAATTACATTTGTTTGCTCTTGCTTCAAATAACTGAACACCAAGAATTTCATACATTGCACAACACAAGCAATAATGAAAAAACTTTCTCACTTATAGATACATAAGGAAAAAGAATAAGGAAGAAATTATAATCTTTAATTCTCAATTCTTACAGATCATCCATTTTGCTGGGCTTCCTTTCTTCCAACTTTCCTTGTTTCACTTGCTGTGTCAGTAACTACACTAAATAACAGCAGAGGTTATTGAAAGATAGATAGTGAAAATGAAGTTATAATCACTCTCCAGTCAATTCAGGAGTTTTGCATTATTTGATACATTGACAAAATTCCTACCTCAAAAATTTGTTCAAAATTCTGAAATTCCTGTAATCTTGCCTGAAATCCTTCAGCAAGTGCCCCACCTGTAATATACAGGCAAAGACTTTTTTAAATCTAATATATCAGTCCCTTTTATCCATGAGAAATATGTCCCAAGACCCCTAGGGGATGTCTGAAACTGCAAGTAGTACTGAACCCCATATAAACTTTATCTACACATATATATACAAATTTGATGCCTTTTCCACCTTAATCAAGCATTTATCATGCACTGTGGCTGAAACTTTTGAAGCTGGAAGTACAAATTTCTTTTTCTTCTTCATAATTTCAGTTAGAAGAGTAATTCTTATGTAGATCTTAGCAACAACAACCTCAGCATACAATATTTTTTCTTTATTAAATCAACTTTTCACTTAAAATAAGCACTTTATAGCATCTCTCTGGTGTATGTCAATTGCGAGCATCAGTAACTATTTTTGCTCTTTAGGTCATTACTAAGTAAGGGTTGCTTGAACATAAGCTCTGTGATTAGTAAGCAATCAACATGTTAACCAAGATGGCTGAGTAGTGTATGGAAACCTTGAACAAAAGGATGTTCCGTGTTGTCTGGAATGGACAGACTTCAAAATACTATTCAGTGCACAATTTAAAATTAACGATCTGTCTATTTCTAAAATTTTCCATTTAAAACTTTCAGACCATATCTGACCATAGAATACTGAAACCACAGTAATAAGAGGAGGACTACTGTATACAGCTAGATTTCCAGCATAATATTGTTTATATATATATATATATATTTAAAAGGAAAACCTATTATTAATACATACCACCTTCTGGCATCCCCTGTATTTTGTGCTTTCTAGCACTAAGAACTTCCTTTGCTGAAACAAAGAAGATACGATTTTGTGCTTCTAAACGATCCACTACTTTGAGCTCCTCTACCAAGAAATGCAGGCATCTTTCCATGTGTTGTCTGCGTACCTACAAAGAAGAATATTAAAGAATTCTAATAATTTAAATAAACATAACCAATGAACATAGATCTATACTATACTTCATTTACAATGATAGTATAGGAATAGTCCCATATACCTAAATAAATCCAGAATATTTTAATAAATAAAGTACAAACTTGACAAGAAATCTTTCTTTTAATGATCTTCCTTTTGAACATATATTTAAAATTCTAACAAAACATCAAATATTATACAAACATCAAATATTATACAACCATTATAAAACATACTGCCGACAAATGTTAATATTTAATGGCATGGAAATGTCAAATCTGTATTAAGGATATACATGATTTTATTACAAAAAATAATGAGTATATAGATGTATATTAATTAATAATAATTAATAATAGTGGCAAGCTGGGCCCAGTGATGCATGCCCAGTCCCACCAGCTAGGGAGGCTGAGGCAGGAGGATCTGGGTTCAAAGCCAGCCTCACCAAAATCCAGGTGTTAAGCAACTCATTGAGACCCTGTCAATGTGGCATATTGGTTGAGTGCCCCTGAGTTCAATTCCCAGTCCCTCCTCCAAAAAAATTAATAATAGCAGCAGAGAAGCAAAGCCCATAAAAATCAGTGGCATTTTAATTTATTCCTTGTTTTCCTTTTCTTCTCTTCTACTAGACACTGAACCCAGGGATATTTTACTTTTGAGCTATATCCCCTGATCATTTTTTCAAACTTAATTCTGAGAGGGTCTTGGTAAATTGCTGAGGCTGGCCCTGAACTTGTGAGCCTCCTGCCTCAAATGGTGCCACACCTAGCCCTTATTATTCTTTTATTTTCTAAATTTTCAACAATGAAGCTATTAATACCTTTGAAATCAGAAAATAAGTGCTACAAAAAATTGGCTAAAATTAAGCTGTTTTGTATGTGTGTGTAAATAAGAAAGACTGATATGGTTTAATGGAAATCATTAAATTATAACTTGGGAGGCTGAGGCAGGAGGATGATGAGTTCAAAGGCAGCCTCAGCAAAAGCAAGATGCTAAGCAACTCAGTGAGACCCTGTCTCTAAATAAAATACAATAGGGCTGGAAATGTGGCTCAGATGTTAAGTGCTCCTGAGTTCAATCGCAGTTACCACCCCCCCCATTATAGCCCCAATTAGAAGAAAAATAATCAGTTATAGCTTTTTGCTTTTTATGAGCTATGGAAAATGCAATCAGAGTGTATAAAATGAGGCTCTCTTAATTTTGAAATCAGAACATAAACAGTTTATTTTCTCTTATTATTAACAAAATAATTACAGGATACAATACCATATATCAATGAGAATAAACATAATACAGATGCCTAGGACAAACACAATGTTGAACAAAAGAAAACAGACACAAAGGTAGATACTATACAATTCTATCACATAAAGTTGAACAACTAGAAAAATTAATCTATGTGTTAGAAGTCATTTTAGGCATTTAATTCTTGGGAGAGAAGACAGAGGACAGGAGAGACTATGAGGGGGGATTCTGGGTATTAGGAATCTTGTGGTTTTTTTATTTGGACTCTCACACAGGAGTTTTAAACTTATGAAATTCAAAGAGCTGGATACTTAAATGATTTATCTATGTATTTTTCTGTTACTTTATACTTCAATAAAAAGTTAAAAAGAAAAAAAGTTTCTCAAGTACTGAAATGATTAGATAGTACTTTATAACAATTTTTCTTCAAAATAGTTTAATATTTTGGTGTCTATCACTAATCAACTTTACGTATTCTGTAATCATATTCTTTTCACAAGAGAATACTTCTTATAATGTTCTATGACATACTTTTCTCAGACAAGTATGTATTGAAAGTATTCTCAGACATGACTGTATTTAAAAATTTACAGGAAAAAAATAACTTACATCTTCCATATATTCTGGCTCTGATGCAGAAGCATCCCAACGATTATTCAGTATGAAAATATTAGGCTTGGAAAGTCGTTCATTCACTTTGTGAAAAAAATGTTTCTCCTGTAAAACATTAAAAACAAACAGTAGGGCTGGAGTTATAGGTCAGTGGTAGTGTGCTTGTGTAGTACATGTGAGGCACTGGGTTTGATCCTTAGCACCATATAAAAGTAAAATAAAAATAAAAGTATTGTGTCCATCTACAAATAAAAATATTTTTTAAAAAACAGTATATTCACTTTTAAATGATACTTTCTATTTATATTTGAAATTTTTACTTGAACCATTTATACAATAATGATCAACATCCACTGATAAAGGATCCCAAAACACCATATGCACATTAAATGTTTCAAAGATGAGAAAATTAACATGTAAGAAGGCAAAAGTGATAACTGCTATTGCTCTTGCCACGAGTCCTTTTGAATTTAACCAATATTTATCAGACTCTACTACATGCAAGATATAATTGGAACTGTTGGATACAACAATCCATGCTCTCAAAAGCTACCTAAAATCTATTTTTTTTTTTTTTGGTACTGGAGATTGAACTCAAGGGCACTCAAACACTGAGACACATCCCCAGCCCTATTTTGTATTTTTTATTTAGAGACAGGGTCTCACTGAGTTGCCTAGTGCCTTGCCTTGCTGAGGCTGGCTTTGAACTCATGATCCTCCTGTCTCAGCCTCCTGAGCTGCCCTAAAATCTTTTTTAAGAGTTATTAATAATAATGTAAACTACTTACATGCATGGTGGCACACACCTACAATCCCAGCAACTTGGGAGGCTGAGGCAAAAGGATCACAAGTTCAAGTCCAGCCTCAAGAAGTTAGGGAGGCCCTAAGTCACTTAAAGAGACCTTGTCTCAAAATGAAAAATAAAAAAGGCTGGGGATGACTCAGTAGTTAAGCACTGCTGGGTTCAATTCCTAATACCAAAAAACAAAAACAACCCAAAAAAAGACAGCATAAATGTAAGATATAGTAGTGTACCCGGTAACTCCAGCTACTCAGGGAATTGAGGTAGGAGGATCACAAGTTCCAGGCTACCTTGGGCAACTTAATAAGTACCAGTCTCAACATAAAAACCCAAAAAATAAAGGGCTAGAGATGTAATTCAGTGCTTATCTAGCATTTGCAACACCCTACGTTCAGTCCTTCAGTCCCCAGTACTACCAAAAACAAAACAAAAAAACCCATAAACAAAGGACCAAGAATCTTCAATATTTAACTTCTTCTGTGTTTGTGGAAGAGATCTATAGACACAAGATAAGGTGACTAGGCTGGGAGTGTGGCTCATTGGGATAGCACTTGTACTTTCATAAACATCATGTGTAAAGCCCTACGTTTAATCCCCAAAATCCAGACAGATATCCTGGATAATCTAAATTTAACAGCAGTCTAAAGTGTATCCTGGTAAACTGGAACCTACAATATATACAGGTAAAGCTGAAAAAGGGTAACAAAACTGAAAATATGAAAAGCTTTGCCTGATAAATGGTAGAAAGTGGGAGTGGTTTGTGCTTTATGGTCCTATGGAAACACAAATGCTTTCATTCACCCAATTTTAGATTTCTTTCTAATACATGATTTGGATTTCACTCACTTTTTGGAATTAAAATGAATATCAATTAGTTGACTGACCCCAAACACAGTAATATGATTATATCCTACCGTGTTCATTAGTGTTGATTCCGAGTTTGCAACCAAAACAAAGACATCAGCATCTAGGCAAAACTTATCAATCCAGCTATCCAGTTCTGTTGTAACATCTGTGCCTGGACTAATAGGAATGAAATAAAGATTGAATTATATGAAATTTTTTTAAAAGAAAATTTGGGTTATACAATTTTGTTTAGACTTTCATGTATTATTTGAAGCCTAAAGGACCATGATTACTATGATTCCTAGGAAATTTTAATAGTAATTTTTGACAAAGCAAGTAATATGATCAATTTTTAAATCTTCTTAATCTTTATGTTCTAAAAGATTGAAAAATAAAATAAGTACTGAAAAACAAAACAAACTAGGCTAATAGATAATTAAAAAATGAGGCTCTGCGAGGTATATCTGGTTCAGCTCAGAGATTTAAGTGCTTTTAAAAGCACAAATAATAAAAAATAAAATACCCTCTGGTAGATATAAATTTAATATACCATCTATACTATAAAAATTACAGTGAAGGATTTGCCTGTTGTATATCTTGACTGGAGGGATTATGGATATAGTTCAGCTATGAAATAAAGCAAAATTGACTAATATTATATTTAAAATATTTTGATTTCACAAGAATCTTCTCTCTCCTTTGAGTTATCCCACTGATTATAATATGAAACACTTTTCCAATAAGGAAAACCCATCATCAAAAACAAATGGTTCATATAAAACACTAAAATTTTAACTGAATAAAGAACACACCAAAATTTTTAAAAACATTAAATACCTTTCTTAGCTAATGATAGTGATAACTGATAGGCATAATCATTTTATTAAGAATCAGTATAGTGGGATGATTTTTAAAACATCACAAGGACTGAGACATAGCTCAGTGGTAGAGCGCTTGCCACTTGCCTTCCATGCATAAGGCCCTGGTCTCAAATCCCATACCACAAAATAAATTAATTTAAAAAATAAAAACTGTTGGAGGGCTGGAGTTGTGGCTCAGAGGTAGAGCGTTCACCTAGCATGCATGAGGCACTGGGTTCAATCCTCAGCACCAGGTAAAATAAAATAAAGACATTGTGTCCACCTATAAGTAAAAACTAAATATTTAAAGGGCTGGAGATTTGGCTCAAGCGGTAGCGCGCTCGTCTGGCATGCATGCGGCCTGGGTTCGATCCTCAGCACCACATACAAACAAAGATGTTGTGTCCGCCAAGAACTAAAAAATAAATATTAAAATCCTCTCTCTCTCTCTCTTTCTCTTTCTAAAAAAAAAAAAACTGTCATAAATGCAAATTAATCAAAGAGCACTGAAAAAAAAAATCCAAAAGCATTCTATTAGCTCTTGAAAAACAAAAAGTTGTATGAGTTTTCCAATAAAGTTATTTTGGGAAACTGAAGAACCAAGTCATAGGCCGGGTGTAATCACACCTGTAATCCCAGTGGCTTGGGAGGCTGAGGCAGGAGAATCATAAATTCAAAGCAGGCCTTAGCAATTTAATGAGACCATCTTAAAATAAAAGAAAAAAGGGTTGGCAATGTGGCTCAGTGATTAAGTGGTCTTAGGTTCAATCCTTGGTACAAAGAAAAAAAAAAAGAACCAAGTCTTGAGCTGAGGATGTAGCTCAGGGGTAGAATGCTTGCCTAGCATGCACAAGGCCATGGGTTCAATTCCCCAGTAAGGCACATGCATGATACAAAAAGAACCAAGTCACTATTGGCTAAGAAAAATATTTAAAGTTATTACCTCTATATATCTAGTTATTACTCTAGATATCGAGAGTTAGACAATTTGTAACTTCCAACCATTTATCCAAACTATAAAATTGTCTTAAGGAACCCTCCAAAATGAATATCTTTTAGAATTTCTTCTAACAAAATTAGACTATACAACTTGAAAACAGAAACCAACACTCTGAAATGAGACCAAGTAGCAACTGAACATTTGAAGTTTTGTGTAGCACATGCTATAAACAGCATTATTTTATTAAATAAACGTATACCCAGAGAAAAAACAGTTCATATGTAATTTTACCTGTCTACTAAAACCAAGTCATCTCTCAATAGGGCACATTTTGCCTTTGGCCAAAACACATGCACAAGACAGCCAGCTTTCAAGTCTTTGTCCATATGGAGGGCATGGGCCAGCTGATTAACTGTCTAAAGCAGGAGAGGAAACAAAAAAATTATACTTGTAATAAAAACTTTTTAAAGATTTAAATATTCTGATTTGGCACAATATCATTTTTGCAAAAGACAGAACTTCAAATAATTTGAAATAAAAACATCTGAACAATGTTAAGAAACCTCAGCTTTGAAATAATACAGTAGGGAAAAAATGGTTTCCTTCAAAGAGTTTACTCATACTATCTTACAAAATCATCATGGTTGGAAATATTCTAAGTGACCCAACAAATTGAACTCTAGCAATGGAATCCTATGCAACTCCTGAAAGTGACACTGGTTTTACAAATCATTATTTTGTAATCTTTGTTCTTTTGGCCTGTTTGCATTCTCTGACTCTTCTAAAACCAATATGTATTGATAAGTATCAAAAGAGAAACATGAGAAGAGATATTGTTATTAAAATAGTTTTAAAATTCCTATAGGAATAGTGGAAGCAATATAAAAAGTCAATAAATATTTTTTTTTTCCCTCGGTACTGGAAATTAAACCCAGGGGAGCATTATCACTGAGCTAGGTTGCACAGGCTAATAAAATTATGATAGCAAAAGTACCTATCTAACAGAATTGTGATGAAGTTTAAGTTATTATAAGTGCTTAAGATAAGCTCTTATAATAACTTAAACTTAAGTTCTAAACTACACAAGAATCAAAGTTTATTTATATTGCAAAGCAAACTTCTACTTGAGGTTAACAAATTTAAATGTGGGAGTAGGGGAGAGGAGGAATAAAGCAATGAAGGAACAAAATTGGAAGTAGAAAACAAAGATCAGGAAAAAAGAGAAAATTTCTTTAAAATATCTCACAATATATTTGCCCTTGAGAATCTAAAGCTACAAATAAGTATGAATTATGGCTTGGTAAAAATCCTAATTACAAAATATTAGTGATTCCTGTACAGGTTAAAAGTTTGAAAAGTATTTTCATAAACATAATTTTTTCTCATAACAAAAGTGAAGGGTACAATCAGTCCAAGAAGGTAAACTAATATAGACCATTATCTAATACTAAGTCAAACAGCAAACCCATAGAACTAGACATATGACTTTACCTTCAGTTTAGCAAAACCTAAAATGGCAAGAATCTTCAATATTGAACTTCTTCTGTGTTTGTGGGAGAGATCTATAGACACAAGATAAGGTGACTAGGCTGGGAGTACTGCTCACTGGGATAGCACTTGTACTTTCATAAATATCATGTGTAAGGCCCTACGTTTAATCCCCAAAGGTGGGGAAGGGTATCTATAATGAGACACTGCCTTACCAATTCCTTTCAGCTCAGAGCTATCATCTTACAACCTAATTTCTATTTTATTCTTTTATTGGCTGAAGGAGTATGGTGACACTGAATTAGAAATTTGTGAAAGGCATTGTGTCCAACTACAACTAAATTAAAAAAAAAAAAAAAAAAGGAAGAAATTTGTGAAAGGGCTGGGGATTAGCTCAATGGTAGAACCTTTGCCTAGCATGTGCAACGTCAAGGAAGGAAGGGACTGAGGGAAGGAGAAACAAATCAATTTGTGAAACTAGGGAATTGTAATAGTCCTTATTTAATAAATCTATAACATTTATTTACAAATATGGTTAATAACTTCTCCTAAAGTAAGACACAGTTAAGGACAGGTTTTATTCTTTCAATAATTTCACTCTGAAAGTGAAAGACTTTTACAAGAACTAAAATATCAATGATGCCTTTAAAAGTTATAAATAAAAATATTAACAATACTTCCATCTTCTGCAATGTAGCCATCTTATAAAATTTTAAAACTTCAAGGACACTAATGCTGGTATACCATGTTGCTAAAGGTTAAATACTATACCTTCACACTCTTTTTTTCATCTGATCCTTCTGTCATAAGATAAGCTTTATCTCCATCAGTTCCTTCAACACTTAGGAAGCAATTGGTTGTATGGCCAATCCCACTAGGGAGAACTTTGTCCCATAACATTGCATTGATAACAGAGCTCTTCCCACTGCTTGTTCTAAATATACAAAATCATGAAAAACAAAACATTAACAATAAAAAAGTTAATTCTTTCACTAGGTTTCAAACCAACTTTTTCAAAATTCCAATTTCATTGGAAGTTCATCAGATTGTATTTTTTGTTAAAAAAATAAAAAAAAGTTAACCTCACTTAAATATTAAGAATGTATATTTAAAGTAGGAGCAGAGAACACCAGAAAACAAACCCCACCTTTTTCATATATCTATCCTTAATTTTTCTTTCTCAGTTCTTGTGGAAATTTCAAATCACAAGTCAAAATTCTGTAATGCTCCTCCCATTATAAAAATGGGGTCTAATGTCTCATCATCTTAAATCTGGGCTGATTTGTGACTGCTTCAACAAATAACACACGTCAGAAGTGACACTGGGTGACTTCCAAGGCAAGGCATAAAAGGCAATGAAGCTTCTGGACTGTTCACTGGATCACATGCACTTGGAACGTTGCCATGTAAGAAGTCCAATTACTCTGAATCTGCTGCACTACGAGAAAGTCAAGCTAAACAGAAAGGTCCAGCTAAATGCTCTAATTGAAAGCCCTATTCTTCTACTCTTCTCAGGCAAGTACCAGGCATGTGAGTAAAAAGATTTCAGATGATTCTAAAACTCAGTTGTTAAACCTCCTCCAAATCTTCATGAGGCTCCAAATACCATGGAACAAGGAAAGACAAGACATCCCTGCTGTGCCCTGTCTGAATTCTTGACTCAGAATCAGTGAACATAATAAAATGGTTATATTTAATTTGCTAAGTTTGGGATAATCTGTTATGCATTTATACTTCTGAAGACACTGAAACCCTAAGAACACCTCATACCACTTTAAGAGCTTGCTTTCCAATCAGCTCAAAACCCAGAAATTATTCAGAGCCTTTTGCTTCACTGCAAAAACAGCATCTTTATGGTACATGCTTCACCTCTTTCTCTCAGTCTGAGTCATACTCTACTTGTGTTATGGATATTGCTCCTCACTTCCTCCCTAAGGAACCACTTCATCTTAATTATCTCAACAGTGCTCCCATTGCCACTACACACATCTTACAATGACACAGATGACCTCTCTCAAAATTAATCCTTTTAATGACTGCATGAAGCTTTGCTGCAATGATCCTCAAGAACAGTCTGGGTCCCCCCATCCCCATCAGAATCATCAGGTAAGCCCACTAATGATGTAGATTCCTAAGATACACTGTAAACCTACAGAATCAGAGTCTGGTAGTGCTCCCTGAATGATTCTTATGTGCACTGAAACTGGAGACACTGTCACCTTGTCTTCCCAAACATTAAAGAAAAAACAATTGTTGGGGGTGGGGGGTCCTTCCCAAAGGCACCATGCAATTCTATAGCAGACACCAATGTTGTGTCCTTTAATTCTTTTCTGACATTATCTGCCTAGAGATAGTGTCAGATCCTACAGGTCAAGAGCTTAGTCTCCCAAGTCCATCCCCCAATTTAGATACCAAATGAAAAGTTCTAGGTTATGGTCTGTGCTTCTGACCAAAAAAGGTTTAAGTTAGGGTTCCCTTAAACCCCCTTCCTGGGTCCAATAATTTGCTAGGACAGCTCCTGGAACTCAAGGAAACACTTCACTTCATTTATTAAAAGGATATTATAAAGGACAGATGAGGGCTGGGGATGTGGCTCAAGCGGTAGCGCGCTCGCCTGGTATGCGTGCGGCCCGGGTTCGATCCTCAGCACCACATACAAAGATGTTGTGTCCACCAAATACTAAAAAATAAATATTAAAAATTCTCTCTCTCTCTCCCTCTCTCTCCTCTTTCTCACTCTGTCTTTGAAAAAAAAAATAAATAAAAAATAAAGGACAGATGAATAGTCAGATGAAGAACTAGACAGGGCAAAGTAGGAGGGAAAATATCCATTCCCTCTTGGGATGTTCAACCCTGCCAACACTTTCAGCAACCTGGAACCTCATGAATCTGGATTCCGAGTTTTTAGGGAGCTTAATCTCCAGCCCCCAGCCACCCACCTTCCTGGAAGTTGGTATGTTGAGGCTAAAAGTTCCAAACTTCTTATTACTTAGTCTTTCTGATGACTGATCCCATCCTTAAGGTAGGCAGGGGCTCCACCCTAAGCTACTATATTAGCATAAACTCAGGTTTATTCATAAGAGGCTCATTCAAAATAAGAAAAGCTATTCTTATAACTCAGCAAATTCCAAGGGTTTTAGGAACTCTGTGACAGGACCAGGGTTCAAAGACCAAATATATTTCTGGCTATATCCAGGCAACACACACTTGTCATCCCAACTACTCAGGAGGTTGAGGCAGGAGGATTGCAAGTTCGAGGCGCGCCTCAGCAAATTAGGGAAACCCTGTCTCAAATTTTTAAAAATGAAAAGGTCTAGGGATATAGCTTCGTAGTACAGTGCCCCTGGGTTCAATCCCTGGTACCAGGAGGTAAATAGAGCAAATATATTTGTTTACATTGTGTACCAATTCTAATTTTCCTTTTACCTGTCTAGAATCTCTGTTCCTGAAAGGTTTCTCATCCTCTCCCTAATTCGTTGTCTTTCCTTTTCAAGACACCACCCTTTTCATATTGAAAGCTAATACAGATGTTCCTCAACTTATGATGGGATTATACACGAATAAACCCATAGTAAATTGAAAATACCATGTTGCTGAAAATTCACTTAATGCATGTAACCTCTTCAACATTACAGTTTACCATCATATAGACTACAGTTGTTTTTATTTGTAATCATGGGGCTGACTTGGAGTTGTGGCTTGCTGCCACTATCCTGAGTCTGGAGAGTATTATTTCATACATCACTAGCCCAGGAAAAGATCAAAATTCAAAAGGTAATTGCAGCTGAGTACACACTGCTTTTGTACCACAGAGAAGTCAGAAAAAAAAAAATCACTAATAGAACCATGGTAAATTAAGGACCAGCTGCTTGGACCTACCTATTTCTCCTTCTCAAGTAGTACAGCTTGAGTCACTGCCTCTTCAGGAGGCTTCTTCCCACTCCTACTCCACCCTAATCTGAGGTACAACCTCTTTTATGGAGCCATCTCCTATCAAACTCTTGTTGCCAAGTGTAAGAAGCAGAAAATGAAAACACAAAATAATGGAACTTTGTAAAAAGCTTTGAAGGACATAAGCAGGGTGCTTCAAGAAAGAATGACTGAGGGGTTGGGATTGTGGCTCAGCAATAGAGGGCTCGCCTAGCACAGGCAGGACCCGGGTTCAATCCTCAGCACCACATAAAAATAAAGGCACTGTGTTGCGTCCACCTACACCTAAAAAATAAATGTTTAAAAGAAAGAAAAAGAAAGAATGACTGAATGCCAGGTATAGTGGCATACATCTGTAATCTCAGCAACTTGAAATGCTGAGACAGGAAGATTCCAAGTTCCAGACCAGCCTCAGCAACTTAGCAAGGCCTTCTCTCAAAATAAAAAAAATAAATAAAAAGGGCTGGAGAGGCGGCTCAGTGATTAAGCATCCCTCATTTCAATCCCCACTATCAAAACAAAAAAAAAAAGAAGAAGAAGAATTGTGTAGGAATTTCTTTGGCAGAGTAACAAGGGAAGGCTTCTGAAGTATTAATATTTAGGATAAAATCTGCAGAGTAATCTAGACAGAGGAAATTGCAAGTACAAAAGCCCTAAGATGGAAAGTAGAAGACCTATGAGGTTAGTTCAGTAAATAAATGCTCCTACTGGTACTGAGGTAGGATAGAATAAAAGAAATAGAAGAGAAACAGAAAGGAAGGGCAAGGAAATAAAATTTTAATTCAGAAGTTCTAAATATTTTTCCAGGCCTCTCATTCACCAAGCCAATCTCTCTCCCAGGCCTACCATTCCCAAATTTCTGGGAAATCTATAAATCTTAAATTTGTAAATCTTAACCATAAATTCACTTATGATAATTACCTTGTGCACTGTTAAACAGCCCACCAGATTAGCCAAAGAGACATAATATTTTGAAAAACTTATAATTTAGAGAAACTTTCCAACATTATCTATTGATCAGATAATGAACACCACATTGGCCTAAGGATTCTAAGAATGACCAAAACACCATAAGCCATCGAGCACCAGACTGTTATCATCCCTACATATCTTTCCATACCCACCACTAACAAAATTTCATATAAAAGAGCCAGGAACCCCAAAAGTGCATCTCTCATACTTCAGATGGCCCACATTCTCCCTTGAACATGTATCTGCATTCCTAAATAAATCTGTGTATGCCTCTGCCTGGTGTGTGCTGAAATTCTTTTTCATCATTCTGGACCTATCTAGTTCTAAGCTGAGTTCCTGCTTCTCTCCCAGAAACTCCTCAGGACCCTCCTCTGGAGACATCTCTTCTCCTGTGACAGGATAAAGCATGATGTTTGTGAAAAAAAGTATGGAGCTAGTTAGTCATTTGTCTTTGCACCTCTCATGCCTAACAGAATACATAATATACAGGGAGTTAACAATTAATTTTATTTTCTTTTTAAGGTGTTACAAATCAACCCATGGCCCTGAGTGTGCTAGGTGAGTGCTCTACTACCCAGCCCATTAACTGATTATTAAATTAATCTGTAGGCTATGGCAGAGATAACTCTATCATTCCAGACAATTACACTGAGAAATTCCTTTACATTCTAATAGCTTTCATATCTAACACAGGTACTAACTGTTGGGATGTGTGGGGAGGGAGGGTGAATATAACTTGCTGAAACATCAGACAAAGTTGGGGATATGACCAAGAAGAGCTGATTTCTAGAAACCTACCTTAGAAGAAATAATAAAGGATTACCTGCCAAAAAATGCCACTTTCATGTGTCTCCGAGACAGCACCTCACCAATGACAGAAAGCTTATTTTTACACCCCTGTATTTCCACCAAATCATCTTCAGTGGCTATTCGATCAAGTTCTGGATTCCTGTATGTTGCTGCAAAATTGAAATGATATTAGAAATACCATTCAGTGGAACACCTAAAACTATGTTTTGGCTTTGTTCTATATTAAAATATTTGAAAAATAAAAATGCTCATAGTCTAATGAGTATTTGGTAAAAGATCCATGCTCTGTTGCAATGGGTCATAAGAATACTGCCCAAAAGAATTTCAGACATTAAAAATTGCAAGAATTTATTATTCATCTAGATTTCAAAAATACAAAGTATCTACCTGACATAAAAATCCAATTCCAAAGAAAAAAACAAAAATCTAATAACCACCTGTTACTGTTCCAACTAACTGAAAGCTGAGAACCTGGGCCTACACGCTAAGAAATAAAGTTTAAACAAAAACCCTTCAGAAATTAAGATATGGTTCAGTTTCCAGGCTAAAAAAGACCTTGCAACCTTATCACTTCTTGTTCTGCTTCCTACAGGGATGGAGCAACACAATTCACTCAACATGAAAAGACAGAGGAAAGAGAATTACAAGTTAAATCCCACTTCATAGCTTTAATGATACCTGCCCACTCTAGCTCAACCCTTCCTCTTCCTCTGCTCTTCCAAGCACCAGGAGCTAGAAAAGCCTGGGTTTAAAAGCAGAACAACCTTTTCTACTGTTTTATTTTAGGAGTAAGAGATAAACTGATATTTGCAATCTTATCACCTCTTTTTCCAAAGTAAAGACATTTGCCTGTCTAAATGATCCTAATTAGAGACAACAGTGCCACTTAAAACTTACCCAGTGCTTGTCTAATTAAACTTAAATTTTCCATCTCATTTTACCTTTCTATACATTAATAAAAATATGTGCAATTTGGTAAATAGCACTGGCTAAAGTATTACTACACTTTTTCATTTTACTTTTGTTGTTCCTGATCTTTTTTGCAACACTTTTTTCTGAGGTTCTAGAACCAGTAAAAATGAATTCAGATTCAAAACTTGCCCTTTTCACTAACTCAATTTATTAGACTCATCACAGATTACATTTAACCTCATTGTCACTTTCTATCAACATTTTTAGGAAAAAACCCCTAAAGTTACTGTGCAAAACAAAAAAAGAAGTCACTGTGAAAGCTCAAATTCCTTCCAAATTGGAAACATAAAGATACTATACCAGTAATTTTTTCCTCCTCATTCAACAATAGAACTTGAACTGTGTCAACTTGGTGCTAGTGACAAAGTGAGACAAAGATGAAGAGATTTGAGCTCAAAATCTGGTGAGGGAGGGTTAGGAGAACAAGGGGGGAAAAGTATGATTCTATCAACCTAACAAATGTTTCCCCATGTCACCAGAGTAGTTTATATAATAATTCCCCCCTTTCATTGTATACTTAATGGACACACAATCTTAAAAGCTAGAAGAATTTCAATAGTTATTTCTAAATTAGTATATCCTGGGAAGACATTCCTTACCATCTTTGCCTGAACAGTTACACGGAATTTTATGAAAATTAGCCAAGGGCAGTGGGGCACATCTACATTTATAATCCCAGCAACCTGGAAGACTGAGGCAGGAAGATTCCAAGTTTGAAGCCAGCCTTAACAAGTTAGCAAGACCCCATCTCAAAAATTAAAAGGGCTGGGACTATAACTCAGTAGTAAATTGTCCCTGAGTTCAAATTCCCAGTACCATGAAAGGAATGAGAAGAAAATAAAATTTTATGAAAACTCCTTTTACCCTTTCTGCACTGTAACTTTGCCTTATGTAAGAAGAAAATTTAGGGCCTGAGGTCTTGGTTTAATTAAGTTGGGGAAGAATGACTGTGGACTGCCTATTTTTCACTAGGCACTTAGGGCTGTGTAATCTTGGGCAAACTGCTTAATTTTGCTGTGCCTTGGTTTCCTTACCTTCAAAATGAGTATGATTATAACCACCTTAGTGGTGATATGAGGATTGAAGAAGTTATTAATATAATAAAGTGCCTAGAATAAATAGTACTTTACATATAAGCACTTATTCCTTAACTGTTAATACCATTTAATTTTCTGGAGAGCAGAAATGGGTTTTATTAATTACGGACTCCCTCAAAGTATACAGAACAATGTCCAAAATGAGTTTAATAGCTAGAGTTGAAATAATAAAGCACCTTTACATATTTTCAACAGTAATCATTTTAAGAACTTAAGAGGAACTAACCTTCAACAAAATGTGATCCTTCAGTAACAAACTCCAGTAACTGGGCAAATATTGCAGTAATTGCCTTCTTAGCCAGCACAAAGTGCTTCAGTGGAGAAGCCGATTCTGCCATTATGCTACTAAAGGAAGAAATAAAGTTATAAAAGCGGGTACTTAGCACTGGTACTGGCCTATGGGCCCAGCTACCTGGGTGGCAGAGGTAGATATATCAATTGCACCCAGGAGCCTGGGCAACACAAAGACCTTGTCTCGGGAAAAAAAAAAAAAAAAAAAAAAAAAAAAGCACTGATCAAAACTGTATAATAATGACATTCACATTCTGACATCATTCCTTAACTCCCAGATGAAATAAATTAAAACTGCCAAAATACTTTTAGGTAATTGTTTTTTGAGCAGAAAGCGTTTTAGTCAGAAATTACAGGTTACATTTGAGCCATATCTCACTAAAATAGATAAAACAGATGAACTCTATTGGCCAAAGTCTTGGTTGCAATTTCTACTTTATTTCCCTTTGGAGATGAAACTAACCGTGGCTAAATCGTGACTGCATGTGACTCAAGTATATCAGGGAACTGGGATAGTGAGAGGAAGCCAAGTTCCCAACAATAACTAAGTTATTAAGTTTCCCAACCAGGAGCTTTAGGTGAGAGGGAGGAAATAAAATCCCAAGATCACAATGCAGTGCTGACGTTCAGAAGTATTTGATCAGAACAAACAAGAAGACAAGTCTTAAAGGAGTCTCGCGCTCCCAGCCGAAGTACCAAAAAAACTTCAAGGAATTTCTTTTTTTTTTTTTTAATTTCCTCCCTGGAAGCTTCTTACGAAAAAACTCCAATCACTGCTCACTTTGTTCGTGGAGTGTGCGTGGAATGGACCACGGTGGCCCAAAGAAGCCGGATCCTTCCAGAGGGTCACGAAATGAGCGCACCACGGAGCTGAGTGGGAAACCAGGGCGGGGACGTCCACGGGCTCCGCGGCGCGAACACCTACCTTGGGGAAAGGCCTTCCATGTCTGACACCGCGGGCGCGGGTGCCCAGCTCGCAGGTTCGGGGCCAGACCCCGCACGCCCCGCGCGCCGGACGCGGCCCGGAACCCCTAGCTGCCCCGGGGCTCCGGCCTCGTGTGCCCCGCCGGACCCCAGTTCCCTCGCTCTTTCCCCGAAGGACCGGCGGCGGCGGCGGCGGCCGAGCCCCGTCACAGAGAGCTCGGCCAACAATTAACTCTCCGCCCCTTGTCCCTGGCCGCTCGAAGGTCACCCCAAGCGTCGAGAACCAACCAGCGGTCAAGAGAGCGGGCACTCACATTCCAGCTCTTAAACTTGTCACCCGGCAACCGCAGCTCTGCCACAGACCCCTGGCTGCCTCATCCTTCCTACAGAGGCTGGACGCCCAGGGGAGGCGGGAGGAGTGGCAAAAGGGCGGTTACTTCCGGTCTCTGGCCCTCTCCTATTATGTTGGGATCCGTGGCCGGAAACGTATCTACATGGGGCGCCATTTTTCTTAAGGGCAGAAGACAAGGGTTGTTGTGGGCAGGGACTTCTATCAGAAGTGTGCTTTTCCTTCCTCCTCCCTCAATGTCTGCCACGCTCTGCCCAGCCTAGATGTGGCTAGCTTCCCGTGACTATTCAGAAATAACTGAAAAAAGTGGGTGTCTGAACTGAGTGAGCAGAGGGATTTATGTTTGGCAGGCCAACAACAAAAGGAAAACCTTTTGACCTCTCCACTACTGTTTTTGTGTGATTTGCTACCTGTTTTTCCAATAATGGGACTGTGTGTGTGTGTGTACGTGTGTGTGTGTGAGAGAGAGAGAGAGAGAGATATTAAAGGTGAGATTTAGGAATATGACGTTGATACTGCCAATTATCGGTGACAAGTCGTGCTTCCCCATATGTTGAAGTTTGAACGTTAGAGAAGCATGCAGAGGCAAGCATATGAAGCAGGGTTTATTTGAAAAGGGTTTATTTTAAATAAACAGTTTCATCTTCTCCAAAGGGAAATAGATGTTTAACTTCTCCTAGAGGAAGAAGGCGGGGGCATAGCTGGTATCCTGGTATCCCAAGAAGCCAGGTGTCCTGCCCTTTTTATATGTCCTAGGATTCCTTTGTTCTCCTGCCTTTCCCCCCTTATCTTTCTCCTTCCTGTGTATGTGACTAGGCCCAGGAATGCTCAGTGGGATGGCCAAAAGGTGGGAAACAGGTGGGCTGAAGGGGGAAGGGCCAGGTGGTGTAGCCAAGGACACATTAACAAGCTTATAGGTCCCTGTGGGGGAAGGGAAATTCCTGGGACAGGTTATCTTGGCAACAGGTTGGAGCAGGGGTGGATTCTTGATGAAATCCCTCAGGGGACAGTCTCCAGCTTCCCAGACTCACTCAAAATTGGCCTCCTAGATCCTGACCTGACTCGATTTACATATCTACACTGACTACCTGTCTAATTCTGGCTTCAACGTTCTTTAGACTAGTGATTCTTAAACATTAGGAATTGAAAAACCAGCCTCTACCTCAGAACAAGCCTGTCCAAGGAAGGGACATGACCTTTGTCCTTGGAAAGACCCACAGAGCACTCCTAGGCACATTCCCACCCTGCTAAGTTATTTATCTACAAATAAGAGGAGAGATCTGTTGCATCGAGTGTCCTTGACTCAGGCTAGGTGGGGACCCATAGCAACCCCCTAGCAGCCACCAATCAGCATGAAACAGGGAAATACCTTGGATGCCAGATGACCCTCCCAGTAGTTTATGGTGTTGGGAAACCATGTAGTTCAGCACGAACACCCCTCTTGGCTTAAACCAATCAGTTCAAATGAATCCCCCTCTTGTAGTAACCAATCACCCCTACCCAACTTGTTCCCGCCAGTAAATGTGCTAATCATATTTTAGAGTTGTTATTTGATTTTCACGTGGTGTGTGATGATTTGCTAAGAGATGCTATGATGTATGTGGGGGTCCCTGCCTTCTCCAAAGAATGTATAAAACTGCTGCAAACCCTGGGCTCGGGGCCTCTCAACGTCACCAGTTGCTGTGTGCGCGTGAAGGACTGAGCTAGCTCGCAAAGCTAGCTCGCAATAAACACCTCTTTGCTGTTTACATCGATCTTGGTCTCTGGTGGTCTTTTGGGGGTCCCGAATTCGAGCATAACAGAATCACCTGGGAATCTTGTTAAATTGCCGGTTTTTATTCACTGGGTCAGAGGTGTACCCTGAGAGTGCATTTCTCACATCCATAGAAAGTGACTGCTGCTGGTGGTCTATACAGTGACTCAACAGAGAGTCGTGGGTATTTCTTTCCAGAGTTCGCAAATGAGATGCAAGTGAAGGCACTTAATCTGTCTGGATCACAGGTATTTCATCTATAAAATCAGAATACTGATAACACCTACTTCATGTGTTGTGATTTTCAGATTAGAGTACTGATGGGCATACAATAAGAACTAGATAAATATTGTTCTATTGGAACAGATTTATCAATAAGCAAAATAACAGTAAATTAGATCATTTCAGATAATGCTTACTACTCTGAAGAAAAAAAAATCCCCAGGGGCAGTGAGATTGACTTTCTGAAGAAAAATGAGAAAGAGGCTGAATTCTTACTAAGGAAGTAACATTTCCCAGGAACTTTTCCCCAGGAAGCCAATCCTAGAAATATCTGAAGGAGGAATGCCCAAAATAGTTGGAACAGGAAGTCCAAAGACTCATAGGAAGGACAGTGGTATGGCTGATGAAAAGAAAGGAGGCTAGTATGGTTGGGGTAGAGGGAAGGAAAATGAAAGTGAGGGAAATAAGTTTAGGGAAGTAGGCAGATGTGGAATCATAGAGGTTGAGATTAGAATTTTGCATTTTCTTGTAAATGCAACAGCAAGCTGTTGGAAAATTTGGAGCCCAGGTCTGATTTACATTTTAGAAGGTCATTTTAGTCACTGTGGGCACTAGTCATGGAGAGATTCCACACAGTCTATTTGAGGGCTTTTGTAGCTTATGGTTGTTTTTGCAGTGCTGAGGATCAAATCCAGGGTCTTGTACATACTAGTGAGTTACATCCCCAGACCTATATACTGTTTATTAAACAGGCTAGTCCATTGGCTAGAATTACAGAGATATGGTAAAAGGTGGCTTTTATTAGTAGTAACATAGTAAAACCCTAGGTATGATTTTTAAAATAAACTGGAATCATTTGGTTCATGGTATTTTACAACATTTACTCATTTTCTCCTCTCCCTGTCCACTCTCCCCACACCAAAACCATATGCACACACAGAACATGTTAATTATTTCTGCTAGAAATCTTTAGAAATGTTAATGAAAAAGAAAAAGAGCTGGACACAGTGATGCATGTGTGTGATCCCAGCAGCTAAGGAGGCTGAGGCATGAGGATTTCAAATCCAAAGCCAGTCTCAGCAACTTGTGAGGCCCTAAGCAACTTAGTTAGACCCTGTCTCAAAATTAAAAAAAAAAAAAAAAATGAAAAACGGCTGGTGATATGACTCAGTGGTTAAGCACCCCTGAGTTAAAAAAAGAAAGAAAGAAAAGGAGAGAAAGAAAGAAAGAAAGAAAAAATAATAATTTTGTTGTTGTTGTTGTTGTTGTTGTTCTAGCAGGCAACAAACAAAGGCCCTGTGCATGCTAGGCAAGTTTTCTACCTTCTGAGATGCATCCCCAGTCTTGTTCAAAAAATTTTTTCCAGAGTCTCACCCAATGGCACACATGGGCACACAGCTGTAATGCCAGCTACTGTGTAATCTGAGGCAGCAGGAGTACTTGAGCCCAGAAGTTCAAAGTCAGCCTAGACAATATAGTGAGACCACACCTAAATAAAGAAAAAAAGGAAACAAAGAAAAAAGATACTTTTTACCCAATAAAGATCTAAAAGTAGGCCAGGTGCAGTGGTATATGCCTGTAATCCCAGCAACTCTGGAGGCTGAGGCAGGAGGATTGCAAATTTAAAGCCAGCCTCAGCAACTAAGCAAGGCCCTAAACAACCCAGCAATATCCTGTCTCTAAAGAAAAAAGGATTGGGACTGTGGCTCAATGGTAGAGAGCACTCGCCTATCACATGCAAGGCCCTGGGTTCGATCCTCAGCACCACATAAGAATAAATAAATAAAATAAAGGTATTGTGTCTAAGATAAATAAATAAATACTTTTTTAGAAATGGCTGAGGATGTGTCTCAGTAGTTGAGTGCCCCTGGGTTCAATTCATGTTACAAAAAAAGAAAAAGAAAGAAAAGAAAACTATTCCAAATGATCAAGGACAGTCTCATATTTTGTTGTATTACTGTGTGTTTCAGTTATGGTAGGAGGATGAGATTTATTGTAATGAAGTGCCTTATATGAGTGCATGGACTGGCTTTGCAAGACCAAGACCAAGGTGATTCTGTTATGCTCGAATTTGGGACCCCCAAAAGACCACCAGAGACCAAGATCGATGTAAACAGCAAAATATGTCAAGCAGTCCTTCAGTAAGGTCAGAAACTCTTGAGCGGGCCATGACACTGTAGTCCAGAGTCAGAATTTCTTCTACCTAGGAAAGCCTTGGTTCTGCTCTTAAGACCTTTCAGCTAATTGGTTCAGGCTCACCCAGATCACCCAGGATTATTTCCTTTAATTTTAATGCAATTATTGTTAAAGTACTAAAAAGACTGTCGTGGAATTGGAGCTAGTTCTAATTTACATGGAGGAAGAAAAACTCTACCAATAACAAACAGTTCTCAGACTAGAGATAATGATTTCACACAACATGGTATAAACACATACTGCTGAGCCATAATACTTAAAGCATGCTATTATTATTAAAGGATGTGGTTCTGTTGGGATAACAAACAATGAAATATCATGAGTACAGGCATGGACTCATAATTCTGATTATGTCTATGAGAAGTTGATACTTTGTAAAATTAGTAGCATGAGTCAATGGAAGAAGATGAATTTTAAACTGATAGTATTGGGTTAGAAATAGGTTAACTTGAATGAATACAAATTAAACTTGAGTCATACCTATACAGAAATAAATTCTGATGTGTATAAGTCCTAAACATGAAAAATAAAACAATAAAAAGATGTAGTGAAGTAGTTTTTGTAACATAGGAGCTGGAGAGAATTTTACAACTTGCAAAGGGAAAATGCAATTTATCCCTAGTAACTATGAAGATTTCCACAAAAGACATCAGTAACAAATGATATGCTCTAGGAATATAGGCCATAAATATCAAATTTACTGGGCAAGGTGATGCATACCTGTAATCAATCCCAGGTACTCAAGAGGCTGAGGCAGGAGGATTGCAAGTTTGAGGCCAGCTTTAGCAACAGGCTGTAAGCAATTTAGTGAGATCCTGTCTCAAAATAAAAAATAAAAAGGGTTGGGGATATGGCTAAGTGGTAA